ACTGTTCGTAGGTATGTTTCCATTACATGCGTGTATGAATCATAGTTGCGACCACAACGTGGATGTTCGAGATGGTGGACGCCCAGACCTCAAGCGTCTCCCAGGAGTAATGGTGGTCGCTAATCGAGATATCAAGAAAGGGGAAGAACTCTGCACTACTTACATCAACCCACAAATGGCAAGGGTGCTAAGACGAGCTTGGCTTTTTAAGTCCTTTAATTTCTGGTGTCAGTGCAAGAAATGCATATATGAAGGTGATGATAATAGTTATTGTACGGATTGTGGAAAGAATGCAACAACTAAGAAAGGTTTTTTATCGTGTGGCAGATGTAAACGCGCATTTTATTGTTCTAAGGAATGTCAGAAAGCTTCATGGCATAAAGGACATAAGCTGATCTGCCAAAAGCCTTTAGATGCCCAAGATTCTCAGATATTAGAGATAGACAATAAACTAAAACGTTATATAAGTCACTAAGAAAATGTATTTCAGTCTAAAATTATATGATAAATTATTCCTTTTAATACATTTCATTTCATTTACGAAAATCTAAGTTGCTCAAATTTTGGACCTATAACTATCTTGTTCCGTAACAATCCCAAACTGATTCAACTTTCGCATCATCAGTGGGCAATCGCGGGAATCCCGAAGGAGCCACAATCTTACATACAGCCCAATAGTTTTAAACATTCGGTGTTGGGTGTAACGCATCCCAAACTGTTAGAATTTCTAATTTAATAGTGACGAAATATTTGCGCGTAGACAAATAGAATGAAATTTGAAAGGAGAAGGATAATTTGGATCATTTCATATAAAACACGTTGTGTATTGTTAAAACTAGATTAACGGTTACATTTTTTATTGCGATGGCATGCAGTGTACGTATAATATAAACTATGTTTTAAAATCTCAATAATAAAAATGTTTTAGGTTAAATATTAGGATCTGTTTTATTATTTATTTTGTCCTTTCTCAATAATAAAGATGTTTTAGGTTTAAAATTTGATTTTGTTTTATTGGTTTTTTTATGCAATAAAGATGTTTTAGGTTTAAAAGAGGCACCTTCATGCATATAAGATCTCGAGTTAATTAGGTCTTCAGGAAATTAACTTTGAAGTAACATGTTAGACTAGGTACGTCATATGTCTCCGGTAATACAAATTAATTGGTCATATATTTTGGTACCCACCATTATTAGTTACGAGACCCACCCCCCTCCCTGTCCCCCCACACATCCCTTAGGATAATTTCTAAAAAAAAAATGGATACAATTCCTTTCTGGACATTCAATTCTATGGCGTTGTCCAACTTCATAATACTGGCATCATGTGGATTCTTATGAGGTAACTTTGGCTCTTGTCAGCCAGCGGGGCCGGTGGAAGCAATTCTTGATTTGGGGAAAGGGGGGGGGGACTACAATCCAAAGACTTTAGGCGAGGGTCCAGGCCCTTTAAGCTCCTGGGGATCTAGATCCTCACAGATGTTGTCTGGCTAATGAAATTACTCACACCTAATCGAACGTATAACAAAGCTATAGATGACATCAACAAAAATTTGAAAGCATGGTATAAAAAGATTTAATAAATATAACTGCTAAAGACAGTTTTTTTTTAGAAAGGTAGGACATTTGCTTTTTTCCAAATTGTTGGAAAAACGCATGATTCTAGTGATTTGTTAAAGATGTACCATTAAAATATATCTTTAACAAATCACTAGAATCAGGCGTTTTTCCAACAATTTGGAAAAAAGCAAATGTCCTACCTTTCTATAAAAAAGGAGACAGCTCTGTAGTTTCAAACTACCGACCTATAAGCCTATTAAGTTCTTTGAGTAAATTATTAGAAAAGGTAGTTTTCAAACACCTGTTTAACTACTTTCATGAAAACAATCTCTTGTACAAATACCAATCAGGGTTTCGACCGAACTACTCTACTACTCTAGTGTATCATGATATCTCATCTGCAATAGATAAGCAACTATATTCCTGCTATGTTTTTTGCGATATATCTAAAGCGTTTAACCGCGTATATTTACCTGGTTTGATACACAAATTAAGTCAATATGGGGTTTCAGGCATGCTAATTACGTGGTTGTCTAGTTATGTCCAAGACCGGACTCAACGGGTATTCGTAAATGGCTCTGTGTCATCAGAAATTACTCTTCAATCAGGAGTTCCCCAGGGATCAGTTTTGGGCCCCTTTTTGTTTTTGACTTACATCAATGATGTACAAGATGTACTCCATAATGTGGCTAGATTATTTGCAGACGACACGGCACTTGGGTGTAGCAAACAGTCAGTTTCAGAGATAGAACAGTCCCTAAACTACGATCTGACAAATCTCAACATTTGGGCGAATAATTGGCTTATAAACTTTAATCCAAACAAAACAAAGGCTATTATATTTAGCTCCAAAAAAACAGAAAATTATCCGAGTCTGATATTCGATAATCAAGCACTTGAAGTGGTTAAATGTCACAAACACTTGGGCATTACCCTTTCAAATGACGCCAAATGGACCATCCATATAGAAACTATTATCTCGTCCACCTCAAATTTATTAAATATTTTGCGTAAACTAAAATTCACCTTTAATAGACAAACTCTAAATAACGTATATTTGATAATGATATTCATAAGGCCAAAATTGGAATACGCATGTGAAGTGTGGGATGGGTGTAACGTTTCCAATACCGAAAAACTTGAAAAGGTACAGCTAGAAGCTGCCAGGATTGTGACTGGACTAACTAAAACTTGTTCTCGTGAAGGGTTTTATTTTGAAGCCGGATGGAATAAATTGTCAGACAGACGTACACAAATGCGACTAACTACTTTTTTTCAAATTAAAAATCAGAGAAACCCAGCATACTTATATGACATTCTAGAATATTATCAACAAACACCACAAAAATACAATTTAAGAAACATTAGCGAATATAGATATCCTTATTGTAGAACAACATTACACCAAACTTCGTACTTCCCCACAACAATTCGAGATTGAGAATTATTAGAGGACCCCATAAAGCAATCAACCACTCTTAAATCCTTCAAATATCTATACAAACAAAAATTACGTTCCTTAATACATAAAGCGCCAATCTACTACTGTAAAGGTAATAGACATGAAAATATTATTCACACTAGAATACGGCATGGGTGTAGTTCGTTGCAAAATGATTTGTATGAAATAAACGTTGTGAATGATCCCACATGTTCTTGTGGCAAATTTATAGAAAATGCCGAACACTATTTCCTGCAATGTCACTTATATGATGTAATTCGTGCTGAACTATTAAATACACTGTCAAGTTATTCTGTGATAAATATAGATATCCTATTGTGCGGCAATTCAGAATTGTCAATTGAGATGAATATAAACCTTTTCCTTGAAGTTCACAAATATATCAAACTTTCAAAACTTATATTACTTATAAATTATTTATTATTGTATATACTATTTCGCAATCTTGTTTGTATTAAATAATGTCTATCATTTCTGTGTATGGAAAGGGCTTTTCTAAGTTTTTGAAACTTGTGCTCAATCCTTTTGGTATTTGTCAATAAAATATGTTTAAACAAAAAAAAAGACATTTATAATCACATGGTATTAGCTAAATACAAAAAAGCAAAATCGATTACTAAATGAGAGTAAGAACTAAATATACACCAATTTAGCTCACGATGTAAATATTAACTTTGAATTACAGAACTTCCAATATAAGTACATCCATAGAATAATTTACACAATAATTTACAGATATTGAAACTGTAAATCATTTGTTTATATACTGTACTTACACGCAACGGATATGGAACGAAATGTATGAAATTCTTACAAAAGCAAATATAAACGTAAGTATAACACACCAGGAAATTCACCTTGATTGCCTAGATAAATCAGTTTTTGACAATATTCACAAATGGACTTTTGTAAATCAAATAATATTATTGACTAAAACTAGAAGCAATTATCCCTACCTGCGAAAAATACAGAGCATTTTTACAAAGTAGAAAATCCTTAGAACTGGAAATTTTTAAGGATACTTAAAAAATGGACATTTTTAACTCATACCCAAACAAAACAGAAATAGCCAAATTATGGTTATATTAAATTATATGAACTGCACGCTAGCTTAAAGTACTTAATTCGTTTCATTTCGTCGAAAGGATCAGTACTTGAATCTGCCGCTCAACAGCTTAAAATTTCCCCTTACCTCCTTAAGGGGAGATAACACATCTTAGGGGAAAGCCAAGCTAAATAAAATTACACGTAACAGTAAAAAAAGTACCCTTTTAAAATAATAGAGGTAACGTATCCCCTGCACACAATGCTAAAGAAATATATCTTAATCCATTTTGCAATTGTAACATTGCATGTAAAAATAGATAGTGTGCCGAGTGCCCTGAGACGAACAAGAAATCTAGCAAATGTTTTATTCGAATATCCAACGAAATTTACAATTATAGTTTTGGCCCAAATCAAAGTGGTCGAGTCATTTTAGCTGTACAAGGGATTGGTATCTATCAATCCTTCCTTACCTCTGTCAATTATGTCTATGCATATTATTAAACCTATATGTACAACATACTAAATTAGTATACTTGACCCACTTCAATTTCTAAATGCATTAAATAAACTTCTAGGCCATTGTGTTAAACATGGGTTTACATGAGCGACTTGTGTTTTTCATAGCAACTATTAGTAATCCATTTAGCAAACACAAGTAGTCTATTCAGTATTTCAGTCAGTCAGAAGATATAACAAGCATTTATTATAATATACCTAGCGTCACTTAGCAGCTCTATCCAATAAAACATGGTTTATATAAATATAATAGGTGTAAAAAAAGGCTGACGTCGTGATAGATAAAACACGAATAATGCATTGATCTACAAGACCCCGAGACCTTTCTCATTCAGTACCAATACCTATACACAGCTTTATTATAATGTATAGTATATATTATGAAAACTTACATACAAATGTTAATATTAGTTTGGGAATAATACGCACCACGTACATTGCATTATATACAAAACAATTTGGATTATCTTCTTTAGGACGTTAAATCTTGAAAATTGTTTTCTTATAGTCATTAGTATGAACAGTCCTAACAGGTTTAACGTATAACTGTGTATAATTTACTCGGCTAGCGGATAAGAATACGGAAAGATATAAAAATATTAACCTATGAATGAAGAAGAAGATTTGGTGAATTGTGAATGGTATAATAACTGATCACCACAGGTTAGTAAAGATTTTTATAGAAATTACTCTTTTGATTTTTAATTTTTAATTTATTTAATATAAAGAGTGGGAACGATCAAGTCATATATTTGTAAAATCATTTAAACTACATTCACTATATAGTGTCGATATTTTTATTTTATTCAAATCTCCTTATGTAGTCTATAAAAGAAATAAGAAGAGTCAGTGTCAGGAAACGAAAAAAAAAGCCAATGAATATTAGAATAACATGGCTGTTGTTTAACTGAATTTAATACTCTTTTTCCAAGTCCGGAAAGGTTTAATGAGGTGGGAGGGTGGGTTGGGGGCGGGGATTTTGAATTATTATTGGTTACGAACCCGTGTCACTATGCCAACAATGATCTTTATGGCAACGTTAAAAAGTACCCTAGTATAGTCCTGTACTCTACTGAAGTACACGGTACATTCTACATGAAATAAAATACATAATTAAAGATAAAGCGAGTCAAAATGTGAGACAGTTCCGAAGTTGATTATAAGAATCTGATCTTTTTATTTCCACTTTGAATTCTATTGGTTTTGTTACATTGGGGAAAATTGGAAGATAAATTTGCTTTATTAAAAAAAAATAGTAAAGCGAGAAATAATATGGATACTAATTCAAATCATTATTAAAAACCAACAGAATAACCGCCTTTGAATTTTTGATAATAGCATACATTCCAAGAAAATATTAGCGTTCAATAAAATTCACCAATTGGACCTGTCACTACAAGTTTAACTTGTTCACAAGAATGAGGTCAATTGAATATGACTGACGGTAAAAGAGGAGTGGTAACTAAGCGTAATACACAATAAAATATACAGAAAGCATTGTATTATTAGGTTTGTATAATATAGACCCTACAAGTACCTTTGAAATAAAGGCCTTCGTTAACATACAACCAGCAACTCAATTCCCTCTAATCAACACTCTTAATTTGCATTTAATTAAAGAGTAAATCCGTTGCAAAAACAAGTTCCCTTCACCTGAAAGAACCCCAAGATTTATTAAAATAAAGGAATAGTGTCCGTATCTCTAAGAAGTCTTGGCTTAGCATGAATGTCGGGCGCATATTTACAGTTTTCAAACCAGTTTCTTTTTTAATTGGGATTTGATACGAATCACTGGACTTGGATTGAAAGTTATTGGATAATAACGTTTGGAAGATATTGCGTAATTTATCATGAAAATGGTTCGCACAGAATATTTTTGCATCACGAATCCGTTGGATTGAAACATACCCGAGGTTTTTATTTGAAAATAAAAACAGGACATAATGATTAAATTAGAATGAGTCAACTCTAAAGACATTTAACCATTTACTCATTTGCTTGCCTCACTTTGTACCCAACGTAGATGTGTTAGAATATTTCCGATGCTGCAAACTACTAAAGTTGATTCTTTTTCTTGATTGTCGCTTCAGGGTACAATGTGAGGCATGTAAATGGTACAGAATGGTAAACTGATCAGCAACCAAACCATGAAGATCTCCGAATCAGAAGCCATCGTAACGTTATTATTAACTTATCTTTAAACAGCAAATCCGTATGACCAACCAAAGATATAGGAACCAATACAGTGAATATGCAACACGTCCGTTTCGAGGAGATATTCGGCAGATCAAACCAGTACCGAGACCGAAATATCACATCCAAAACATCAGAAAAATCGAATTCGGTGACGAACTTAATGACGGTATGGATCGTGGACCATCATTGGTGCGGCGGAATTCAGATCCCTTTTTTAGGCGACCACGTAATATCCGTTCCCTTAACCCAGCCTCAAAAGCAAGGATACCACCCCCTCCAGATAGACTACGTTTAGAAAACGCCAAGCCCTACAGAACTCAATCTCTTCCAGGTGATATTTCCCGCCGGAAACTACCTCCAATGCCGCAACCAGTATATAATCCAAATGTTCGCAACACACCGCTTTTTCGACCACCGCCTAAATTTGTTCCAGTCAGAAGTCGTAATCCTGATTTCATGCCTCAAGTAGAAAATCCATATAGACCGGTGCAATATTCTTTAGAACCAGTTAATCATGCAGGTTATTATTTTGTTGAACCATCGCAACAACCGCCAGACGCTTACATCCTGATGGATAATGTTTCACGAGATTCAAACATAGCTGCTACAGATGGCTCTGGTGCAGATATTGACCGTAAACGACACTTGCGACAGAACGGTCGAAAAAATAATAGACTTGTGGAAGGAGAACGGTACCCGACAAGAAGAGGTTTATGTGGTTCTTGCAATTCAGTGTTTCTTATATCACTTTGGGGATTTCTCAAAATTGTTGAGCTAGTAGGTATTTTCTTCTACATAAGAATGAATTAATGAAGTGGGATTTAACGTCACACTTTTCTGCATAAGAGAAGATTGCTATATTATCCTATATTTTCATTTCGCATAATGCTTTTGGGGAAATTTTATGAATGCCTTTGTCTGACAAAAATCACCGGAAAACAGAAAAGTGGACATATGGGACTGGGGTTTCAATATTTACGGTAGACCTACGATATTCTTATTTTCGAAACAATGCATTTTTCTATAAAGAAATGCATGAAAACTTGAAAATGAATAACTTGGAAAATTCTTACTAGGAACATGTGTTATATTTTATGATATTTTTCAGATATGTAGCTTGACCATTTTGATATGTGCTAGTTTAGAAGTTAGTAACTGGGCTATTGCTCTATGGATTGTATTTGTAGCAGTTTTGGGTATTTTAGCAAGTGCTGGAACATTACTCTTTCATTTAAATAGAGGTCACTTAAAAGAAAGACACTGGGTGTTGTATGTGGTAGGTATACAGAAAAGCTGTGTGTATATAATCAAGTTAATTAATGCATATGTCTCTAATAATAAGTACAAAAATTCAAGTAACATAGTTAAATGTACGAATCAAATGGATTGTATAAGACCGGGGTTGTATATCGTGGTTAAACTAAATCTTTGGTTTAGATAAACACAATAAGACAGATTGTTTAAACCCTTGCTAAATCATGTAGATCCTTTAACTTAATGGTTTTAGATGGGTTTTAAGTAGGCTGCATATTAATTTTGTTTTAGATTATCCACTCCATATAATACAGCTTACATTCCAAGTGCGGTTCCAATAAAAGTACCCTCTTGTATTGAAGGATACTGGAAAAAAAGGAATCTTACCAAAAATAACATAATTTCCTCAAAATCTCGGGGTAATGGACGTTTCAGCTGATGGTCTGAGATGGCATAATCTTTCTGAATTGGTTCCCTATCCCTAAATACTGGATCCGCACAGGCCTATTTATTCGGTATTTCATACGACTTTGTACACGTTTTTTGTTCTGAAAGAAAAGACTGAACGGCTAACCTATACGATATCGTTAATAATATATATAATTGCCACACAAACAGAATAGCTTATTCAAATTCTATACTTATATTCATATCTATAGGCAAGGTAACAAAATGGTTGACTATGTATTATTCGACCCGTGTTTCTATTATTCTGTCTTTTGTTTACTAGGAGTTTTGTGTTTATCTGTTTGTGACATTTTGTGTGTTGTCGGTCGCTATACTAGCCACAGTACAAGATACAAAATCTGGAGGTGTTACATGTTTAATTGTAAGTATTTCAAATTACATATACTACGATGGATTCTTTCAGGTTTATGACACTGTTTATACTAAATAAACAGGAAATGGTATCAGATGGTATCCAATTTATAAGCCTATCCCGTACATCACATACTACCCGGTATGTAACATTGTTCAGATGATCACCAGTATCACATTTTTCAACACAATCTTAGTTGGCAACCAATCAAATAACGTAATACTATACATTCGTTGAATTACTACCAAGTGGGTTTTTTTTGGGTGAAACTCAACAAATGTTTGTGGAACTGCAACCATTTTGTAGTATTTTTCACTATAAATAACCAATTTATCTCAGATTTATTCTTAAAACATAAATGTATTTTGCTAGAGCAGAGATGTTTTCTCTTCTCATCACAGAGTTTCATATCTAACCAACTGCCCAATTCCCGTGTTGGGAAATAAAATGAAATCGGGTTTAACGGCCTACATTACGCCAGGAAAATGTGTTTGAGGCCGTCAAACTTTCCAAATTTTCTTCTTGGGTGTTGGGGTGTGTGTGTGTGTGTGTGGGGGGGGGGGGGGGGGGGTCCTATACGTCGTCTGTAACCCGAATTTATTTTCAGGCATTTCAGGTTCTGCCCCCCTAACATTCATCGAGCCCGTACGCCTATGCCTACATTTCTGCACCAAATGGGCTAATGACGACGGTGTCCGTGTTGGGGTTATGTTATAAATCAATAGGTCTGTTATCTACTCGATGCAAGTCAATGTTTCCTTCGCGTATTTGCACTTGACAAGAAGTGGGATCGACTGCCTATGGGTTTTCCCCGGGTACTGGTATTTTCTTCCACTTCTAAAGACCCCTTTTTGGAATAAAAATTATCAGATGTGTTGTGTTAAAATCGAGATTTTTTTAACGACCTGTTCCGCCTCATTAAAATGATAGGCCTATATTTCATGATTTATATTTTTCAGGTCGTGGGATATATAGCAACACTACTGTTTGGTATTGATACCATTATAACAGGTTCAAATATAGGTAGAAGAACATTAGCATGAGACGTAAACCTATCATATACCCACTTAACGCTCCACCTCACTTATCTTATCCCAGGGTTAAAAGGATATATGAAAGACCGCAGATTTTACTTGATCCTTGGGAAAAGAAACTTCACTATAACGACTTTCGGCCATCTCGTCACAACTTTAACCTAAATAATCCACGTGATCCTAGATTGCCAGACAGAGTTGACATTCGTTATTACCAGAACGGACCACCTCGATATCTGAAACCAATTTACCGCGACAGAGACTACGAGTATCCCGAATCTAATTGGAACTTCCCGCACGACGACCTGCCGGAACGTTATCCCACGGCCCCCAATCGGTATAGGCGGCCACCTGCAGACTTTCGTGGCGGATTTTTAAGTTTTCCAGATCGGGACTACCGTCGTTATCAACGTGATGTGCTGAAAGACTTCCGTGATGAAGATCTCTTGCGGGATGATAGTAGAACTCACGTGACTGTGTATCATCCTCGTCAACCAAATAAAAGAGAATTTCCTAAAGTGTATCATTATAAACGTAGAAACTGGAAATTCCCGGATTTCGATAATGAATCTAGAGATATAGACTTTACGAGTGAAAATGAACTAGATTCTAATTTACCATCATTAGGAACAAATGTAGATTCATTAAATGCTAACTATCATCAACGTAGGGACTACAAATTACCTAATTTTAAAAGTTATGATGACTGGAGAATACAGAAACGACGTGCTCAACAGTTATCAACCATACCAGCTAAACCTAAACTAAGAAGAGAGCATTTCTGGTCAGTCGACTCCATTCCAACCGAGGACAGACATCGTCGCAGAGATATTCCAAATTTTAAAACGCACGCCGATTGGAATGTTCCGCGAGACAGGAATTCTGTATCAACTATTCCGAATCCTTTTCCCGATCAGGACGATTTCCCATCTTCTATAGCTCCATTGGAATCTCGAGTCGAAGATGGGTTCTCAACAAAACCGTTCCCAAAGAGATCTACATACGATGCCTCATCCCTGGTTCGTCCTTACATACCCAAGCCTCGTAAGGATCCCGATCTTCAAGACAATCAATCTGTTGGTACCAGAAACGACCAACTGACGGATATTCCTGTACATAGATCTATCCGCGATGACCGAATATCAAATGCGAATAGTGACAGACTTTCTGCTGGTGTAGCCAACCGTTCAACTGATTCCAGGCAACTGGATCCAGTTTTCAAAAAAGGCGATGATCCCAAAAAAGTCCCCAAATCAGTCGGGACTATGTAAAAAAGGCCTGTGGATTAATCAGGTAGATAAATAAGCTATTTTCTCTACATGTGGGTTTTGAACATTGTTTGAAGAATCTAAATTGCGGATAAGAAAACTAGATTATAATGAATGAGTACCGAATGTATTTCTATTGAAAAAAGAGCCCACTTAATAATGCTGGTCGACTGGGAATATAGTAGTGAAAAATACTATTTGTATTAATTGTGTGTAATTTTTTTGATTGCATTTACTAGTAACTATTTTACACAAAAACTCTACCTAAAAGTAATGCAATCAAGTTCGTTCGTTGCTTGAGGCATAACGTCTGCTTCCACCTTGGGTAATATCGCAGACAAGTAATTTCTGAGAAACTTATGAGAGGAGTCGGATAATAGGTTAAATCTAGCATAAGTAGGAGACGCATGCTCGATTAGGAGGCCTTTTCAATTGCAATCAAGCACCGCGATCTTTCCAAATACATGTATACTGTAGAACCAAAATGTAATTTAGCATTTGTATCAGTTTAATTTTGGAACACAGAGCACATATTTTGGAAGAAGGAAATGGACATTGTGTTTAATGATGATGTATTATATTGTGTCAATTATTCAGCTGAACTTTTAAAATATTATATTAGACTGTTTACCTCATATTCCATGATTGTCTGTAGCAGTGATTCTCAACGAGTGTGCCGCGAGATCTACCTAAGTGTGCCGCGAAATTTTGAACAGCACACTAATAAGAAAATGCGAAAAACCACGTGATCCCAATTGCGTATTCACTGGTGTACATAGCTGTGTTTTCTTTATTTAGTTTTGAGTCTTTCTATGTGTCTATGACTTGTCTGTGTTTACAGTTGTATGTCGTCTGACTTATGTTTTTATTTTGCAAAATTCAAATATTTTTCATATATATTAAGCCAGGTGTGCCGCTATTTTTTCATTTGTTCCAAGGTGTGCCGTTGGCAAAAAAAAGTTGAGAACCACTGGTCTGTAGTCATCAAGTTATTCAAAACTAAAATAACTTATTATTATAATACTGTGCCATTTAAATATCTGTGATAATTATTGAGATTTATTATGTAAATAAAAAGTTTATATTTGTTTATAATAATTTATAGTGTTGATTGGTGTAGGTTTATGGTGTCAGTGTCCCTAGATACATGCAGCATGAACTCAATGTATAACAGAGTTAGAGAACCTTATTCATTTAATTATTTCTTCAAATATGATGCCACACTTAAAATGCCAGTCTAAGCTGGAGGTACATATTTTTGAAGACATGTATTTTCAATTTGGAATATTAGCCCATATTTGCAAAAACTAACTCAATCTACCTATTTAACAGTGAAGAAGGTGTATATATGGACAACTGATTTACAGCACTGGACAAATACAATGATACTGCATTGATAAAATAGACTGATATAAAATATTGTTCATAGACGAAAATAAAATATAGCATTGGACGAATAGACTGATTTATATTATTGTACAATTAGACTGACATAAATTATTGGGAAAATGGACTGATATACAACATTGGTGAAATAGATTGATGTACAGCACTAGCGAATAGATCGATGTACAATACCGGGCAAATAAATCAATATGCAGCATTGGACAAGATGACTGATTACAGTACTGGATAAATAGACTAATATACAACATTGGGCAAATAGACTAATATACAACATCGAGCCAATAGACCGCCAATAGACCGACATGTACATGTTTAACAAAAATGGATGACCAAAATAAGCAGAATATTAATGGATATAACAAACACATAACATTTGATACATTAATAAATTTATTTACTTTCTAAACAATAAAATGGAAGAACAAATATGGTGGTGTACAAAAAATACTGAGAGAAATACAGACTTAATCTTTTAAAAATACACTTAAAATCAAAATCAGCTTCTTTTTTTTTTTTTAATATTTAAGGAACACTGATATGAGTGATTCTGAATTTGATAGTTAATTACACTTTCAGCATTAAATTAAACAATTTCACATCACAGTTATACTATTTGATAAAATCATACAATCTAATATTTAACAAGCAGTTGCTATGCAAGATACGCCCACATTTATGCATGAGATGGACAGAGGATGAGCTGAAAAAGTGGTCTGATATGCGCTAATATCAAAAGGAATCAAGATATTTGTGATATAAACATACATTTTAAGTTTCATAAAAATTGGATAACCAGCGGCTGCCAGACAGGATACGCCCACATTTTGCAAGAGATGGATAGAGAACAAGCTATAAACAAAAACGATTTTTTGTACAATCAGGGGTCATAATTCAGAAAGTTACGATCCGATATGCGCAAATATCGACAGGAACCAAGATCTGTGGGTTATAAACATGTATTTAAAGTTTCATCAAAATTGGATCAAAATTGTGACCCCTAGAGGGTCCACAACCTTGATATACCAGTGGGAGCGGTCATTTTGTTTGGCAGTTTGGTCTGATTTTCCCAAAATTTGAACTCAACCATCATTACAGTGTTATGGTGATATATTCGAACGTTTTTTTAAATCAGATAATAATTGTGACCTCTAGAGGAACCATAAGCTAAAAAAGCGATTTTTCGTAAAATCAGGGGCCATAATTCCGGAAGTTACGATCCGATATGCGCGAATAGCGAAAGAAACAAATATCTTTGGGTTATAAATATGCATTTCAAGTTTCATCAAAATCAGTTGAAAATTGTGACCTCTAGAGAGTCCACAACTTTGATATACCATATTTTTACACTATTAGCGTACGAGAAGCAGCCATTTTGTCCGGCAGTTTCGGTCCAATTTTCATGAAATTCGAACTCAACCATCATTAGGGTGTAACAGTGATATATTCAAACGATTTTTTTAAAATGGATAAAAATTGTTACCCCTAGCAGGACCACAAGCTTAAAACGCGATTTTTCATACAATCAAGGCCCATAATTCAGGAAGTTGCGATTCGATCTGCGTGAATATAAAAGGAACCAAGATCTATGGGTTATAAACATGTATTTCAAGTTTCATCAAAATAGGATTAAAATTGTGACCTCTAGAGGGTCCACAACCTTGATATACCATATTTTTACACCATTAGCGTACGAGGGGCAGCCATTTTGTCCAGCAGTTTTGGTCCGATTTTCAATAAATTTGAACTTAACCATCATTAGGGTGTAACGGTGATATATTCAAATGTTTTTTTAAATCGGATAATAATTGTGACCTCTTGAGGGACCACAAGCTAAAAATGGGATTTTCCGTAAAATCAGGGGCCATAATTCAGGAAGTTATGATCCAATATGCGCAAATATCGAAAGGAACCAGGATGTTTGGGTTATAAACATGCATTTCAAGTTTCATCTAAACCAGATGAAAATTGTGACCTCTAGAGTGTCCATAAGCTAAAAACGTGATTTTTCGTACAATCAGGGGCCATAATCAATGAAGTTTCGATCCGATACATGCCAATATCGAAAGCAACCGAGGTCTTATGGAGATAATCCTATATTTCAAATTTCGTTAAAATCGGATAAGAATTGTGACCTGTAGAGTGTCCACAAACAATTGTGGATGGACAGACGGATGTCATGACGGACAGGGGCGACGACAATATCTGTCCACATGAAAATATGGGTGTAAAAAAATTGTGACCTCTAGAGGTCATGGGGAGCAGCCATTTTTTGGACAGTTTCTGTCCGATTTTCACGAAATTCGTACTCAACCATCATTATGGTAAAACAGTGATATATTTGAACAGTTTTTTAAAATCGCATAAAAATTATGACCTCTAGAGGGTCTACAAGCTAAAAATGCAATTTTTTCGTACAATCAGCAGCCATAATCCAGGAAGTTACTGTCCGATATGCACCAATATTAGTAGGAACCAAGATCTTTAGGTTATAAACATATAATTTAAGTTTCATCATATCCGGATACAAATTGTGAGCTCTAATGTGTCCACAAGATAAAAATGTAATTTTTCGTACAATCAGGGGCCAGAACCCATGAAGTTGCGATCCGATACATGCCAATATCGAAACGAACCTAGATATTCGGGATATAAACCTATCTTTCAAGTTTCATCAAAATCAGATCAATTGTGACATTTAGTGTGTCCACAAACAAATGTGGACGGACACACAGACGGACAGACCGCGACGGCATAATACATCCACATGAAAATGTGGGCATATAAAAATATACACTGGTATTTCATATCACATAAATATCAATAATAAATATTATTACTACTGTATTAATCTATTAACTCTTATCATTGTTTGATTTGGTTGCTAGGTATACCTGTCTTGTCATTGTTTGGTTACTAGCGATACCTGTCTTGCTTTTTCAAATTTAAACATAACGTTAAACATGTCTCCGCCAAGTCTATTGGCTAACCATTTATTTTTTATTACAGCTACCTTGAGAACATCACAAGTAAACCGAGCATGAAAGTTTGTATGAACAGCTCTACCCATACCCTCTAATATGATAAGATCTGCCTTCTCTTTCACCATCATATTCACAAGATCATTGTCAATTAACCTGCAAATAAATCAAAGCTATAATAATTAATCTGAGAAAGTTAGGCCAAGAAGAGGTCTACTCTCTTGGTACAGATATTTGAATATATTTGGAAAGAAAGATGGGTTGCCAGGCAACAAAACATATGCCCACAGCAGCTATGTCGTCCCAGCAGTCCACAAGGGTTGTCACATATTTGTTCTTTTGTCAGTATGAAAGCATTTACAAGACACTAAAAACTGATTAAGAACAAGCCAACAGTGAGGCTGAAGTTCCCCGCCAAAATCCCAAAATAAATAGATGACACATTTTAATTAATCGCACATTTATTTTTTTCAAAAGTATCAAGCAATCAAACTGATTATTAACTATACACTAAGTTTCATCACTCTCTATCAGATAGTATCAAAGTTATCTTGTCCCAAAGCATCGACCAATGAAATAGCTTAGCTTAGCTTAGCTTTAGCTCGAAATGTTAATCATTGAGCTCAGTCAAGACATTCACTTAATGAACATCTACATCAAGTTTAAACATTCTACCTCAATTAAACGCAGAGTTGTTACGTTCCAAAGTCGAGCATCCACAAGATTTTTCAAAGTAATCAAGAGCCATCAAGAGCCATAACTCTTGCAGTAATTATCGGAAATAGTTGAAAAACACTGATGGGCCAAACGACAATATAAAAACCAGTGGCTGCCAGGCAGGATACGCCCACGTTTTCAAGAGATGGATAGAGAACAAGCTAACAAGAAAGTGATTTTTCCTACTATCAAGGGCCATAATTCAGGAAATTACAATTCAATATGTGCGAATATCGAAAGGAACTGAGATCTTTGTGTTATAAACTTACATTTTAAGTTTCAACAAAATGGGATAAAAATTGTGACCTCTATAGGGTCCACAACCTTGATATACCATATTTTTACGCTATTTTAGAACGAATGGCGGCCATTTTGTCTGTCAATTTTGGGCTGATTTTCACAAAATTCGAATTCAGTCGTCCTTAGGGTGTAACAGTGATATAATAATACAGTTTTTTAAATCGGATAAAAATTATGACCTCTATAGGGTCCACAAGCTAAAACGCGATTTTTCGTACAATCAGGGACCATAATTCATGAAGTTATGGTCCGATATGCGCGAATATCGAAAGGAACCGAGATCTTTGGGTTATAAACTTACATTTCAAGTTTCAACAAAATCGGATAAAAATTGTGACGTCTATAGGGTCCATGACCTTGATATACCATATTTTTACGCTATTTGAGAACGAACAGCGGCCATTTTGTCTGTCAATTTTGGGCCGATTTTCACAAAATTCAACTCAGCCACGGTGATATAATAATACCTTTTTTTAAATCGGATAATTCAGGAAGATACGGTTCGATATGCGCCAATATCGTAACGAACCGAGATCTTTGGGTTATAAACTTACATTTCAAGTTTCACCAAAATCGGATAAAAATTGTGACCTCTATAGGGTCCACAACCTTGATATACCATATTTCTATGCTATTTCAGAAAGATTGGCGGCCATTTTCTTTGTCAATTTTGGGTTGACTTTCACGAAATTCAAACTCAGCCGAACTTAGGGTGTAACGGTGATATAATAATATGTTTTTTTAAATCGGATAAAAATTATGACCTCTCTATAGGGTCCACAAGCTAAAAACGCGATTTTTCAGACAATCAGGGGCCATAATTCAGGAAGTTACCGTCCGATATGCGCGAATATCGAAAGGAACCGAGATCTTTGGGTTATAAACTTACATTTCAAGTTTCAACAAAATTGGATAAAAATTGTGACCTCTATAGGGTCCACAACTTTGATATACCATATTTTTACGTTATTTTAGAACGAACGGTGGCCATTTTGTCTGGCAATTTTGAGCCAATAGTCACAAAATTCAACTCGGCCATCCTTAGGGTGTAACGATGATATAATACGTTTTTTTTAATTTGGATAAAAATTATGACCTCTATAGGGTCCACAAGCTAAAAACGCGATTTTTCGTACAATCAGGGGTCATAATTCAGGAAGTTACGGTACGATATGCGAGAATATCGAAAGGAACCGAGATCTTTGGGTTATAAACTTACATTTCAAGTTTCAACAAAATTGGATAAAAATTGTGACCTCTATAGGGTCCACAACCTTGATATATACTATTCAAAAAAAGTAGGGGATATTTGATTTTTAAGTGTTATTAAAGTCACCTAATGAAACTGACGAAGAAACAAATGACAAAATGAAATGAAGTTCACATTCATCGATTTATTCCAAATGATCGTTAGACTAAGTAAGGCACAGACTGACCATTATAAGGGTAAAATGATACCCGGGGTCAAACAGCAAAGTTACCACAGCATCACAACCAAGTCAGTAACGGGTAAATCCTCCTCTGTTTGCCAAACAAGCATTGATCCGACGTGGCATACTCCTAATGAGACGTCTAAGGTCATTTTGGTCCAGACTGTCCCATTCCTGTTGCAACGCAGCAGCAAGTTCTTGGACATTGGCAGGACGTTGTTGAAGTTGACGTAACCTCTGTTCAAGCATGTCCCAGACATGCTCGATGGGGGAGAGGTCGGGACTCAGTGCTGGCCAAGGTAATGTGGTGATGTTCTGTTGTTGGAGGTAACCTGTAACGATCCTGGCCCTGTGACATCTGCGTTGTCATCCTGGAAGATGAAACGGCGGCCATGACGTCGTGCGAACGGCACAACATGGACTGCCAAGATGTTGTCCCGGTAGTACTGGCCTGTAACACGCCCTGCAACAACATGTAAAGCCGTTCTTCCAGCAACAGTGATGCCTCCCCACACCATAACAGAACCACCCCCAAATCGATCATGTCTGATGACGTTAACGTCTTGGAAGCGCTCGTTTCGACGACGCCACACCCTCCTACGTCTGTTCAAAAAATCAACAGTGAACCTTGACTCATCTGAAAACATCACATTGCTCCAGCGTCGATTATCCCAGTGTTGACGATCCCTACACCAACGACGTCTTGCCTGAATGTGATGATCTCTCAAACAAGGGATCACGCGAGGACGTCGGGCGCGAAGGTGACCCCTATGCAGTCGATTCCGAATCGTCTGGCCACTCACTCTCACACCAGTGTCTGTTTGAAGACGAGCGCTGATCTGATTTGCTGTGATGACACGATTTCTCAAGGCCAAGGTACGGATAAATCGATCCTGGGCTTGAGTTGTCGCCCTTGGTCGACCTGAGCGTGGTCTGTCCTGTACAGATTGTGTATCACGGTATCTGGACCATAGCCTGCTTATGACATACTGAGAAACATTCATCGTCCGCGCCACAACCGCCTGTGTTGTGCCGATCTGTAGCATGCCAAGGGCACGTAACCTTTCATTTTGGGTAAGCCATCGCATATCAAAATTTGATTTCTGGTCACTAAAACAATTAAACTGATGTTTCCACCCTGGAATTCAATGCCACAATGACTGTAACATTCAAAGTCAGAGTCGTGCAAATCTTGGGTTGGACCCCCATGATGATCCCAAGCATCACCTGCATTCCATGCGGTAGCTATTGGTGCGTTTGGGCGTCACATGTAACTGGAAATGTTTCTTCTGTTAGGTTCTATAGTGACTTTTTTCGTAGTCATTTGCATATTTTAGTATTATGCCCCCAAAATCAAATATCCCCTACTTTTTTTGAATAGTATACCATATTTTTACGCTATTTGAGAACGATTGGCAGCCATTTTGTCTGTCAATTTTGGGCCGATTTTCACAAAATTCGAACTCAGTCACCCTTAGGGTGTAACGGTGATATAATAATACAGGTTTTTAAATCGGATAAAAATTATGACTTCTATAGGGTCCACAAGCTAAAAACGCGATCAGGGGCCATAATTCAGGAATTTATGGTCCGATATGCGCGAATATCGAAAGGAACCGAGATCTTTGGGTTATAAACTTACATTTCAAGTTTCAACAAAATCGGATAAAAATTGTGACCTCTATAGGGTCCACAAGCTAAAAACGTTATTTTTCGTAAAAACAGAGGCCATAATCCATGAAGTTTCGATCCGATACATGCCAATATAATAGAATGGGACCATCCATACATATCTTGCTCTTTTACAATGTATTTATTACTGTAAGATGGGGTTAGCATTTTGGTGTATCATACATTAAATTATCTCACTATAATGACAGTGTTCACAGATGTGGCTTCAATAAGTAAGGCACTGGTTCACTAAGGTCACTGGTTCGATCCAAGTGTTGGCAGAGGATGTTCCTCAGGATTTTTGGGCATGGTTTCACCAATCTTTCTGAGCCTTGCCCACCTTCTTTAGCCCAGACGGAGCCTTGTTAGTGCAGAAAAGTAAGACAAACTCAATATTATTTTATTTGTCAGTTGTCTATGATATTAGATTGCTAGGAGCAGACAAAATCAAAGATTTCCATTGTTTTAAATAAAGGGGATTGAGTAACTAAGTGGTCTGATTAAAGGAATGTGTTTTAGATCATAAAGTTAATCAGAGATTTAAGTCCCATGGTATTTCAATCCCACACTTGTATGTGGCAAGGAGTAAGTTCATCCAGAAATAACATAGTTAGAGATATAACTGATATAAGAATATTTACCTGAGATCTAAACAAGGTGAACCCTGTCCATTCTCCATTACCTGTAAACGACCCTCATTTAATGCTGAATTAATCTCACTACTTATAGCAGCTACTTTCTTTACTAATATTAATAATTCACTAAATATAACATCATTTAATGCTGGACGTGAATTTACACATAAAATAACCTATAAAATAATCAAAATCATAATATAACCTCAAATATAATAATAACAAATATACACATAAAATAATCCATAAAATAAATAAATTCATTATATAATGTCAAATACAACACTAACATTAACAAATATACCCATAAAACCAACCATAACATTGTAACCTGCAATAAATAATATTCACACAAAGTTAAGGTACCTTGTACCTTCATTGAATTTGATGAATTTAGTTTAAATTGCCAATATCAGCTTTTTCGACCAAAATAAGCAAAATTTTAGAAAAATCAAAGGGGTACAGTTTACTTTTCCCATTTAATTAGAATTAAACAAGCCAACAGTGTGGTTGACGTTCCCCTCCGAAATCCCAAAATAAATAGATGACACATATTAAATAAATCCCACATTTATTTATTTCAAAAGTATCAAGCAATCAAACTGATTATTAACTATACACCAAGTTTCATCACTGTCTTATCAGATAGAATCAAATTTATCTTGTCCCAAAGCATCGACCAATGAAATTTCTTAGCTCTGCTTAGCTTTAGCTCGAAATGTTAATCATTGAACTCATTTACCTAATGAACATCTACATCAAGTTTAAACATTCTACCTTAAAAAAAACCAGCAGATCTGTTATGTTCCAAAGTCTTGACCAATCAAATTGCTTATCGCTCCTTAGCCTAAGCAGAAAATTCTCATCATCGAACTTAGTAAAGGTAATGATATAATGAATATATACTCGGACTTTCATCACTTTCGCTTAAAGATACATTATGGGAGATTTTTATAGAGCGTTGGCCATTCTTGCTATAACAGTTCAAAAGTAGATGATGAAAGAAGAATATATTGAAAAATTCAGTCAAATTACTTTATTCTGAACATAGTTATCATCGTTGTAATATTTGCCTAGAAATGGTAGCGAAATGTGTCTTCACCTTCGCCGATAGTTTGATTGACAGGCGTTAACTTGACCTACATATCTCGATTATCAAGTAAAGTTTTCAATGTCATACGGGAACGCTTTACAGCGGCCCCACTAAGTACACTCTATCATTTAGCCTCGATCTAACTGACGTATTTTCATCAGGTTACCCCTTATTTGATTTAATCAATTAGTGAAATCCTATTTAAATCCGAGCTGTAGCCGAGCCATCCGTGGGTCTACAGAGTTGATTTTGGTCTTGTTGTTTAAATAAAGATCTAATTTATAATTTCTATAACATCTGAAGCCTAAATTAAGACTTGCAATAATCAGATTTAGCGCTTGCATAATGCATGTTTAATTAAAACCAAAGTTATCTTACCCCAAAGTATCAACCAATCAGATTGCTTATCTCTGCTTATCATAAGCAGACAATGTTTATCATTGAAATCCATCAAGACATTCACCTAATGAACGCCTACAACAAATTTGAACTTTCTACCTCAATTCGAAGGAGAGTTACTGTGTTCCAAAATATCGACCAATCAAATTGCTTATCGCTCTGCTTACCCTGAGCAGAAAATGCTCATTACCTCAATTAGAAGCAGAGTTTTTATGTTCCAAAGTCTTGACCAAACAAAATGCTTATTGCCCCATTAGCCTAAGCAGACAATTCTCATCATCGCATTGATGAAATGAAACTATACACCAAGTTTCATCACTCTCACTTAATTAAAACTAAGGTTATTGTGTCCCAAAGCATCAACCAATCAAATTGCTTATCTCTGCTTACCCTAAGCAGAAAATGCTCATCTTCGAACTCCATCAAGGAACTGACCTAATAAACACCTACACCAAGTTTGAACTTTATAGCTCAATTAGAAGGAGAGCTATTGTATTCCAAAGTCTCGGCCAATCAAATTGCCTATCGCTCTGCTTATCCTGAGCAGAAAATGCTCATTATCAAACTTAGTCAAGGTATTGATGTAATGAAACTCTACACCAAGTTTCATCACTCTCACTTAATTAGAACTAAAGTTATCATGTCCCAAAGCATCAACCAATTAAATTGCTTATCTCTGCTTACCCTAAGCAGAAAATGCTCATCTTCGAACTCCATCAAGGCATTGACCTAATAAACACCCACACCAAGTTTGAACATTCTACCTCAATTAGAAGGAGAGTTATTGTGTCCCAAAAAGTGTGATGGACAGACAGACGAATGGACAGACAGACAGACAGACAGACGAACCCATTTTAATAGTCCTATGCTTTTTTCGAAAGGCGGGGGACAATAATTTGACATAAAATGACCCAATTACCTCTCTAATCATCGAACCATGAAATGTCTGTTATTAATAAATCTAGTGTTGAAAATCGGATCGAGATTTGTGATCCGAATACTTTTGTTGGCTATCCGAATAATTCGGAGACGTGAAATTCTTGAACAAAATTACATCAAAAGTTCTTATACCGGTACTCATAATTTCTTACTTGTTTCAATGTTTATGAGTGTCTGTGTATGCCGAGTATGAAATCTTACATTCGATTTGCAAATTGTTTGAGCTGCGAAGAAAAAAAACGTGCCTACCTTTAGCTGTAATTATTAAGACTATCTATGACATCGGTCGGACATCCCAAAAAATCAATGAGGTGAAGGAATTTGTATAGTATAACTACTCCTGTTATCCGCACCCTCCCACTTATCATTTTGCTCAATCAACACGAATGAAAAAAGTAAAATAAAACCATGTGCCATTTATTCGGCAAGGTCGTTTGCCTCATTCTGATAATCTACTACTATTGAACCAATCAGTGAGTGGGAATATACGTGACCTAGGTCGTTATGAATAAATTTCATTGTGGGAAGTCAAAACACGGTCTAAACTCGTATGCCGTAAACTAGCCCAGGGAATGAATGAATATTTTTTTCAAAGTAATCAGACATAAAAATGGCTAAATATAGAGCATGCGGAATGTCAGAATATATTGTAACGAATAGTAAACGGATAGTAAAATGATTTGGATAACCCTTATTTTGTATCCGTTAACGAATATCCGAATAGTAGTTTCAACACTAAATAAATCATGTGCCTGGCATTGTGGTAATAATAATCACTATTATTTAACAGATAGAAGTAAAACTTACTTTTGTTCCGTTAGCTAGAAGTTCTTGTGCTAGTGGAAATATACCTAATATTATATCAGCCCCACTATTATCACAAAATATAACAGCACACTTGTGAACTGGTTGAGTTTTTAACCTGATACACCATTCATCAAAATCATCAAATAACCAGGGACGAGCTATAAAATATATAAATAAATATTATATTTACCTCTAGGCCTATTATTAATGAACAAAGTCTATCATAAATGAACAAAGGACAACTATAAATGAACAAATTCTTTAACACACAAAGTCTTTTTAACACACAATTTCAGATGATGCTGATCTGGATTACCCATTTTAAATAAATGAACAATTTTTGCAAAATTCAACAACTTATTATGGAACCACAATATCTTATTGGTGTCATAATAATTGTAACATCTACACCCATTTTTGATTATCCAACCAATTATAGTAACATAAAAATAATAATAACTTGTATATATTTTAGAGTGATGTTTGGTATCGACTAAACATTTAACTTCTTTTCCACAATCTGTTCTGTAAGTATCGGTGATAGGCAATGCTAGACTTTCCAGGCCAATAAAAATGACCAGTTTTTAAGGACATACCTTGCAGACGCGATCTTGCCTCTTTAAAACCAAAACCTGGTGATTCCATGAGTTTACAGACTTCTTTAGCACCCCAATCAAACATATTACCAGCTAATATACCTTGAGCTAATTCTAACTGTCTATCAGGCCATTCTAACTTCTCTAATTCTCTCAAATGACTTGACAATAATTTTACTGCCTGTTCATTTTCAAACTGTTTTTGCTAAAAGAAATGAAATCAAATTGAACACCTTGTTATAGGAGCCGTCCATCCCAGATATTTTACATTGAATCAAATGAGTTAATTCTGCATGAAAGACTTACAGAAACCTTTATCCTTGTCCTGTAAAATATCAAATATACTAACTTTCACTTTTGATATGTCACCAAGTTTCATGCTATCCTCAAGGAATCTACTTACATAATTTTAAGTCATAAGGGATCGTTGCTATTATAGTATTATTAAATCACACGTAATGGATGTTCTTAAATGCGTTTCATAAACTAACGATCATGTCCGAACAGCTTGATATTTTGAGCTGACACTTTTGGACTTGCTGTTTTGGCTATATTGGTGCATAATTTGTATCCTTAAACCCACTTTTATTAATGGGTAGCTTGTGAAATCTTGAACAGCCCTTTTAAAATTGAAATCTGTTTTTAATGTTTTTGGAATTTCTAAATTGCAAAAGTTTTCAAAATAGATTACTAAGTGACTAGATTTCCACCAAAATCAAATTTATTTGCGATTTTTGGCGAAGAAACATATTTTAATGTTAATCAAGAAGTTACGGTCCAATGTGGGTGTATACAAATTTCATATCGATTATCCACAGCATGTTTATGACTATAGTTGCAATGTATATTCCTCCTGTTCACAACTAATAATTCAATTCATCATTACAAATTTTATGATCATATACTATATCCTTAAATATTCCCCAGTAAACCAATGTACTGGACAGAATTCTTATGTAAAGATAGGGTGCGAGGCAACGAACCATATGACCACAGCAGCTAAGTATCTGGGCAGTAGAGTTGTCACATATTTTTTCTATTGTCAGTAATGAAAGATTTATAATACACTAAAATCTGATTAAGAGTAACAACTCATTAACTAATTATCAGAAATCGTTAGAATTTGTTAGGCTTTTAGTACTGTCCCATGCTAATGTTTAGTATACAAAACATCTAATATCATGGGTTTAGTTGTTCAAGTTATCAAAAATCATTGAAATTCAATATACTTGTTCGTCTCAAGACCTTAAACTCAGTGTATCAATCTAAAGTCAATCGAATGATTACTTTGGTCTGTAGAGCATCTGCAAGATTTCTTGAAGTAATCAAGGGCCATAACTCTGGCAGTAATTATAGGAAATCCGTGAAAATATAAAGGCGTCTTCGTCTCATGACTGTAAACATTCTTTATAAATTTAAAATCTATTGAAAGACAACTTTTTAAAGTGATCATAGGCCATAACTCTGGCAGTAATTATCGGTAATCGTTGAAAATTAACAGGCTTCTTTGTCTCATGAACTTAAACACCGTGTATAACTTTAAAGTCAATCGGATATTAACTTTAGCCTCTAGAGGCTCCACATCCACAAGATATTTCAAAGTAATCAAGGGCCATAACTCCGGCAGTAATTACTGGAAATCGGTGAAAATCAATGACCTTAATAAACACTGTACAAATATAAAGTCAATCGGATATTAACTTTGTCCTCTAGAGCATCCACAAGATATTTCAAAGTGATCAAGGGTTATAACTCAGGTAGTAATTATTGGAAATCGTTGAAAATCAATAGGCTTCTTCGTCTGATGACCTTAAAAACTGTGTATAAATTTAAAGTCAATCGAATGTTAACTTTGTCCTCTAGAGCATCCACAAGATTTTTCCAAGTGATCAACGGTTATAACTCCTGTAGTAATTATTGGAAATCGTTGAAAATCAATACGCTTCTTCGTCTGATGACCTTAAAAGCTGTGTATAAATTTAAAGTCAATCGAATGTTAACTTTGTCCTCTACACAAGATATTTCCAAGTGATCAACGGTTATAACTCCGGTAGTAATTATCAGAAATCGTTGAAGATCAATATGCTTCTTCATCTGATGACCTTAAAAGCTGTGTATAAATTTAAAGTCAGTTGGATATTAACTTTAGCCTCTAGACCGTCCACAAATTTATTTTTTATCCATTTAATAAATATTTTGAAATTATAATTACAATAAGGATTATCTACCTGAGAATACGGATCTGTAAAATGTAATTCTGATAAATATTGACTACTGGTATCTAATAAACTTCTTACTGTTAGAGAACCATAACAACTAGAAATATAAATATAACAAGTAATTATATAGTCTCCTTCTGTACAATTTTAGCTACCAATTGTGATGTCATTCATTGAGAGGGTATGCTAACTCTTTCCAGAATACCTCTGATACCCCATGTCTTTGGATTCATCAGTTTTCTTTTTGTTTTGTTTTCTTGATATGTATTACAATAAACATTTGTATTTGTTAAAGGGGTTTGCCATTAAATTTGCCATTTTGGATTGTCTGTGTTGTTCTGTATTATTGTTGAGTAGTCAGGGTTATAATTCTAGTTTGAATTAAGTTTACACAACTGCATACCTACTCATAAAAGCATACTATTATTAACCCTTTCATTGCGTCTACCCGGTAGTATCGGGTATTATAAAATGCTGTTAAAATGTGCTTACCCGGTATTTCCGGGTACTCAGTACGGCCCTCGCTAAAATTAGCACCGTATCTGCAAGTGCCATCTATTGTATTTTCTATACACTAGAACATATTTCCACGTGTTTCAAAGCGGCAAACCGTAAAATAGTGACAATGTAGACAATGCACTCTCGGCGAAGTCGTGAATGACATCTTTGCTGACCAAGACAGTGTGGACAATTTCAAGGCGGGTGATACACATAATCACTTTCCAGTTAGTTGATAATAATAGTAGTCAGGACAGTGATTGGTAGTATGAAGTGCGTGATTTGTTGCGCGACATTCCGCATATGGCTATGTCTCCCGCGCATGATGAACAAGCCCAGTGTGAACATGCCCTATGTCTGCAGTAGATTCTGACGATAATTCTGATGTTGATTTTATTAATAATGCTGGCCTGCTAAATCGTAAAAGACATAGGCAATTCCTGAGTCACGAACATGTAGATCTATTGACTGACTATAGTGATAATGATATGGGACTTGCGTATGAAAGTGAAAGTGATGGTGAAAACAAGGTATTGTAATCTACACGTGGTCATGGCAGCGGGAGACATGGTACACGTGTTCGTGGTGGCATTGCTTGTGGCTGCTATTGATATTTTTGTTCATTTTATATATCTTTATCAAAATCCAGTAAAAAAAACAATATCCCATAATTCTATTTTTTCCTCTTAGCCTAATCTCATGCACATCCCAACACACAAAAAGAATTTCCATTAAAACTTCCATTAAGCACTCTTTGGCATTTAGTTCCAAGTCTCCTTTTTTCCTCAAAAAAAGGGTCTAGCACAGGCAGTGGATTCACGTCTAGCATTGAAAGGGTTAACGTAGATCAAACCTGACTTACCAAGGATTTTCTTTAAGAACTTTTAATCTATCTAAATATCGGATAACAAATTTTTCAGCTCGTTTCTCTGCATCTGATGACTGGGGCTGACTTTTAATAGCTTGCTGTCTGGTCTATAAATAAAAACATAAACATATAAATGTATGTAAAGTTTAATTAGGAACGGGTTCAGGAATAAAATCATTAGAACATTCATAATGTATACACAGACACAACATTCATAATGTATACACAGTGTCATATGAATATAAGGTGGCTGTGGAAGTTGAGAAGTAAAGGTTCAAATCCTGGCGTGAATTGAGAAGAATTTTGACTGCTAGGTTAACAAGGAATGTGTTGCCTGATACATGCACATGGGTTGATCTATTTATTTTTTGGACATGGACCTATAAGTGAGGAACACAAAATAAATAGATCAACCTATGTGCATGTATTCATGCAAGGAAAAACACCTTTGACAATTGGAATGCTATGAAGAAGAGATGCAGGTAAATTCTCCTTGACCACAGCAGAAATAGTGTTTGTTAGTCTCAATAACACTAAATCATTTCTTTCTGTTCCATCATAAATATACAGTTTAATTCTAGAGGAGTAAATAACACACAGACATTTATTAGCACTCAGTTCAAAAATATGTAGCCAAATGAAAACCTATCAAATCAAGGTTTCACAAATGAATCTGGGATTCAAAAGATACCTAAAAATGGCACAGAAGTGAAAAATTTGAGACAATTTGAACCTGTTAAAACGGTCTTACTGCTTATCTCTTCTCTACTACAGGTTGTCTTATCGTCTCTATATATATCATTTTTCAAGAATTAATGTATGTAACTGTTAAGTTAACTGATTGTAAAAATGTTATTACCTTATCAACACCATTAGTAAAACATTGTAACCAATATTCTCTAGCCTCCTCATCCTGAGTTAAATCTACTGTATCTGGTAGGTAGTTCTGGGCATCCAGTAATAAAGGACAAGGTAGTAACGGTTTATCCAGACGATTGAGTTCCAACATATCAAACTGTAAAGACAAAACATCAGATTTTTTATAACTATAAGCGGAATCAAATACAGCCCAAAACCATTAAAATTGTTTCAGAACTATAGTACTGTGAAGGCCTGTGCATTAAACGATGGTAAATTATACAGCCCGACAGATTGTACAAGATGTTTTGTCTGCTATGTTTTATTTTGATTAAATTATGTTTCGAAAGATTATGCCTAAGTGAGCTTGTATACTAATTTCTGTTTAGATATTGTCTTACTGTGTTGATATTCGAACACAAATTCAGATATATTTCAAAATTGGCTCTTATCGACAATTTTATTTTTCACCCAAATCAAGAGGTCTGGTCACTTTAAAGCTTTGATTAAGACCACAGTATTTAACATTGTGTAAACTACTCATTGTACAGCTGAATGTCTAAATAAACATGACCAAATTCAGTATTACTGCAATAGGGAATTATTGTGCATGACAAACAACTGGCAACAAAATGTTGGTGGCCATGTTCGACCCATGGTGATAAGAGAATTTTAAACAATAATATCCAATATGCATACTTTACTTTGCATGGTGTATGAAGAAGCGACAGTAAACAGAATTAATTCAGCTATCAATAAAATTATCTTCAATAAGTAAATTATTGGCCATTTTGTTTATTTCCATTTAAGCCTATAAACCATAATGCTTTGCATGTGGTGTCTGGGCCAATCAACAAAACCAAATAACTAATTTCGCTGAGAATTTTAAGAAATAGGATAGATTTAAGAACATGGAACTCTTACAAAACATTTAAATAAAGGTGTTCTAAAATATTCTATTGCTATTTTGATCTTTTGTGTCGATAGATAGTACATTTATAGATTCATTTTTGTGAAAATCTCAATTTCGATGAAAACCAATATTTTCACTTATTTTGTCTCTAGGTTAGAATTAGATAATGCGCATTCTGACTCATTTTGACATACCAGGTCACATATAGTCTTTGGTGTGCGCAGACCTTTAGCTACTAATATTAAGACAGACTTACTGTGGAACTTCTTGTTTTACCCAAAAATCCTGAACATTTTGGACTAGCTAATCCAGAGCTACCAGCAAAATGTTCTCCCCATACAAAAGACTGATCATCTGAAAAGACAAAATATCACAATGGCTGCATTGAACAGCTTTACCTATAGATCACCAATCTAAGTATTTCAACAGTTTTTATCACAGACTAGTTCTTGCCTCAGAGCTAGAAGGTGAGACAAGTGTCATCCTTGAGGTAGGGTATTGTCCACTCTTTTCAGAATACCTGATACATTACTACTGAGAGCGATGTCCTTTGAAAGATTTATTCTGACATTTCACATCATCCACATCACCTGTACTGTGTTTCTTTGTATGCTTTGCTGTACAGTTGTGATGTACTGACTTTTTATAGTTAGGAGTGGAACAGTCCCCCTTGCACTTAACAACAACAGTTCACATGAATAAATATGATTTTGAATTGAATATTACCAGTTGTAGATTGTCTGCCAATAATACCTGGAATCTAAGGCATTTAGAATGTGGCTGTATTATGTTATGCCTCACATGTTTGTTTTTTAAAAGATCTAGGTAAAAACAACTTATATGAAACACAAAATAAATCATTTAAATATATATAGCTGTACCTTTTGAATCATTAGCACCTTTAAGAAAAGCTCCTATAGCACCTAAATATCCTTCATGTCGTAAAAATAAAGCTTGTATTTCACCCTGAAATAAATGCAGAAAAATACATTACAACATCCGTCCATTATTGTGTTTTTAAAATTTTTTATTTAAACAATATTTTATTCATTAAAATTTACAAAATGTATATAATAAATACAGGATACGATAACAAGCTTTATCAGCTTATATAAAATCGCTTCCTTTTAAAATTAGATTGATATGAGAGATGCTTTAACATAACTAAATAACTTATCATTTTTAGTTAGATAAAAATGGAAGATGATTTAACATAACTCTATGGGTTATTATCAGAGACATACTATATTATTATCATGTTTCATTAGATACCGGTAATCATGGGAGACACAAACAATTTGTATAATTTAAAAACAAACCTTGGACCAAAAGTTGATGGCATATGTTATGGTATGCATTGTCATGGGATGTCCCCTTATAAAATAACCACCAAAATATATCTTTTTAAGGTTGTGTATCTTAGCTTGTAAGTAAGCTATCTGTCCAATATCATTACTAATAGATAATAATAAACTTTTAGCTACATCTTCATCTTTAAAATTAGATTCTGTAAAAATAATCATCTATTTGTCAGCTATACAATCATAATCAACCCTTTAAAGATGATGGTCTTCCTATATTCTAACAATAGACAGATATTGTAACGATGACGGCAACTGGAATCAACTTTTAAAAACTATCAAACAGTGTGTCCATTCAATCACCACTCTAAATGAAAGACTGTGTTAATGCATTCACTGGTCGAACAATTGACCATTGTAAGGGTATAAATACAACTAAAAGTTCATTTTGACACATAAAACAAACTTGTGATATATAAAAGCAGCAAATTTGATCAATTTACTAAAAGCATCACCATTTTTAAACTTAGGAATGCCATACTGATGATGTCACTAATGCATTCTTTAGTTAAAGGTAGAGTTTGAACAAGAGCACCTATGTTTTATCTAAAACTGTCATCACTATCTACCTTTTATTAGAATATAGAAACTGATGGATAATCTACTTTAAATACAGAACTGGCAATTATGTTGACAACTAGTTTTCTATAATTCCATTTGTATCTGTGGTGTCCTAAGTAATAAAAAACTTACTATTTTTGTCTTTTGTAGATCTGGCAGCCTTTGCGAAACTACTGGCTATAATATCACCTGGTAAACCAATAGTAGCATAAGCACCACCATATATATCTTTAACTAACATATCTACTGATCTATGATCACCTTGCTCTGCTAACTCTACTAATTCATCAAAGCTCTACAAAATAACATGAAGACGAATATTAATGTCAGTGTAATAGCCAGGACTTTGATATGGAAGGAGCCCAATCCACTTATACCCTCTGACATACCACCCTGCTTTCATTCCCCAGTCCACATTCTGACACCCTTAGCATTTCACTCAGGTAGTCTATAACCCTCTAACATTCCCATCTGAAGTCTTTAAAGGTTTCAAATAATGTATTATAAGTAATTTTGTTTAAATATTCAAGTATTTCTATGAAAAAGATTCAAAATAAAAAAGTTTTCCTTTAAAAAAAAAAGAAAAAAAGAATACAAACCTTTGCCTTTGTTAAAAGAGAGCCTAAACCCCAAAAAGTACCTCCACCAGTCGATGTACCACCTATTCTTTCATATTTATTTTCTGATTCTACCTAAAACAAATTTTGATGTTAAATTGATTTTTCTGTAATATTGGTTTAGTTGAACGATATATTCTACTCTAAAGCCATAAACAAAAATATTCTTAGATAACCCTGTATCACTTGAAAAGTGCTGCATGACCTGTTTTTATTTTAAAAAAATAAAAAATCCAAATTATTTACTGTGCGTTCATATTTTATAATGAGAAAGAAATGACTAAAATTTACTCCATGGAGACATAAGATTGAAGGATTAGCATTGACATTTGAGTGTAAATCTTACCTTAATTAAACTAACGCCTGATCCTATATTTACTAATAAATAAGGAAATATATTATGATTGACACCTTGAAACTTATATTCTGGGTTTCCATGACGTTGATATATAAAGGCTTCATCAGGTATATTCTTCAGTAAAAAATTACAGCCAGTTATTAAACACTCCATTTCATCTTCTTTATCTACCCTACAAATTACAACATAATCATAACCATAGCCTACGACATGAGAGTTATATCAAATATATTGTTCTTTAATAAATGGTCCAAAAATTAACTAATTTATTCAATGTTTACCATTAATCTTTACTTACTGCCCACTTAAATCACTTGATATTAAATTATATTTTAATGTTATTACTGTACACTTAATAATATACCCGATATTAAATCTGCACTTATTTTACACCTGGGGGGTTTGAATGGCCGAATGGTTAGCGTTAGCACGTGCGTGCGCTGTATCATAAGGCCTGTCATTGAGTCAACTGGCGTGGTTTCGAATCTCCCCTGTTGTACGTGACAAGGAGTAGGGTTGCCTGTCCAACCTTGTGGGTTTTCTCCGGGTCCTCCGGTTTCCTCCCACTGCTAAAGACCCCTATGTGCAAGCGAATTATTGAAATAAAATTAAACCATATGTTAGTCCCGAAATGACCTAGTCTGTGTCAAGTGGACGTTAAACCCCATTTCTCTCTCTCTCTATTTTACACCTAATTGACCTGATATCAATCTGTACTTACTGTACACCTAATTTACCTGATATTAAATCAGTACTTATACTGTATACTTAATATACCTGATACTAAATCTGTACTTATTGCACACCTAATTTACCTGATATCAATCTGTACTTACTGTACACCTAACTTAGCTGATATTAAATCTGTACTTACTGTATACTTAATATACTTGATACTAAATCTGTACTCATAATTTACATGATATAAAATCTGTACTAACTATACACCTAATTTACCTGATATTAAATCTGTTCTTACTGTACACCTAATTTACCTATTAAATCTGTTCTTAGTCTTAGTGTACACCTAATTTACCTGATATTAAATCTGTTCTTATTGTACACCTAATTTACCTGATATTAAATCTGTTCTTATTGTACACCTGATTTACCTGATATCAAATCTGTACTTACTGTACCCCTAATTTACCCGATATCAAATCTGTACTTACTGCACACCTAACTTACTGGATATTAAATCTGCACTTACTGCACACCTAATTTACCCGATATCAAATCTGTTCTTACTGCACACCTAATTTACTGGATGACCTGGCGCCTGGTACGTTCGGGCATTTTTATGCGCGAACTCTTAGGTTTTTTTTACTGGCATGCGCACAGGTACTATTTCTTTTTCTTTTAACAAGTACCCAAATCGGGGATTTCGTGCGGAGGTAGTTCGGAGGTAAACAGTCTGTGAAGTACAACACTTGCCACTGTACCTGTGTATCGCTAATTATAAACCGAATGTGTGAAGACAGTTCATACATATCACTCAAAAATTTTTCAGTACAAACTCAGTTGATTCACGCTCGATTTGCTACTAAACAAACCCATCGGTTTATTTTCTCAACAGTGTGACCCGAAGTGACCGCGGATTTATTGACCTTGTATGAACTTATCCATAGCTATATCCTTACACCGAGAGAAATTATCTAGTCTCGGTGAAAAGAACCATGGTCATCTGGTAGAAAATTACTTTTGTATTTTTTGGAACGGAAAACAGTGTTTTTAGAAGCAAACTAACCTGCCGCACATGAGGAAGTCATTATACTAATAATAAAAGGCGAGACCCTCTTTTTGCGGCGCAGGCTTATCACTGAGTAGTAAACCGTCCACAAACAATAATATAGGAAGCCTAGTGACGAGTGTAGTAACGTAAGTAGGCTATAAACTATAGGTTTGAGTCGAGATTACTCGCTTTCAGTTTACTCTGTTTTTGCGATAACCAATTATGTGAGAAATACCATACTGACATTCGGTTTTTAAAAGTTGTACGCCAACTAAATGCGTTTGTTAGATACTGACAGAGCAGCCCCCAGTCGAACAATCGCCGCCCGAGCTGTCTTCGTCAGCTAGTTTCACAATATCGTGCAATAGGTGTATTAATGTGATTTTTAGGTTTAACCCCGCAAACAATGCCAAAATAGTGTTTTCACTGCTTACAGAAAACTGAAATTTAAAAAAAAAATTTTTTATGAGGGTGACCCTCCCACACACTCCCTAACGAGCTGTCGCTCGGTCTGCGCAGCCTCATGCCTGGCACATACTGTCAACATTGTATATTTTTCCGTTTCCGCCCTTCCCCCCCACAATATATATTTCAGGGCTACGTTGCGATGGTACCAGCATACCCAGTTGTTGACACCCATTACATCACTCCTGTCTAACAAATCATAAAGCTGTGGTGTTACGGTGGCGGCATAGTATTTCACCGTAACACCACAGCCACTCTAACCATTCATAATACATCTAACTATCCCTTTACAGCACTTCACTCCCTACACATTTCCCCTCGTCCTACTTGCCCAAACGTCAATAACACATCTCATACATCCAGTTCGCTGATTAACCCTTGTACCACGTCTACTGGATATTAAATCTGTACTTACTGTACAGATAATTTACTGGATATTAAATCTGTACTTACTGTACACCTAATTTACTGGATATTAAATCTGTATATTTATGAGCTCCACCACCTGTAGCTTTAATATATTTATCTTTCATAAACTCTGTTGATTCTATCAGATTTATTTTGATAAAGTCAAGACATGTTTCAATATATTTGGTTTCAAACTTGATAAAATGTAGACGTAATATGCTCTCCTCTGTTTCAGATATATTATACACATGTTCTGAACTATCCTGAAAGAAGAAATTCTACATTTTATTAAACATACATTATGCAAGAGCTAAATCTGCCTATTGCAAGTCTTTATTCAGATGTTATAGAAATTATTAATTAGACCTATATTTACACGACGAGTTCAAAATCAACTCTGTAAATCCACGGATGGCATGGATACAGTTTGGATTTAAATAGTCATTTATTTAAAATTAAATCAATAAATGGCAGACCAAGCTAACGTTTACTGTTAGTCGCTGATGTCACCACCAGAAACTGGTGATGAAAGGTCTGCCAAGCGAGGTTACCATAGCCATTGAGCATGTTACTTAAAGATTTAGATAAAGAACTAGCCATTCTTGCTATAATAGTTCTAAAGTAGATGATCTAAAATGAATAATTTGAAAATTTCATTCAAATTACTCTATTGCAAGCCAAGATATTAGCCTTTGAAGGTTTGACAGACGTGTGCAATAATCTCAACCACCGTACTGGTTGATCGAAGCTAAGTCTCGGTCCTCCATATTTGATTAAATCAAAGTATGGCTGAACCATTCTAATCTATTTAATATTGGAGAAATCTGATGCCATTGAGAGTTGATAAAGGCCTGGATCAGTTAATTAATGTCTAATTAATACTTTAGAAAACATTTCAAGCCTAAAGAAAGACCTGCAATAGACAGATTTAGCTCTTGCATAATGCATGTTTAATAATCGAGAATATGTGGGAGGAGTTATCTTCTGTCAATTCTCATAGACGGTGCAGACACAATTGATGCCTATTTCTAGTCCAAACTTCCAACAGTGACAATTCCGTTCAGAACAAAGTAATTTGAATGAAATTTTCAACATTTTATTTTTTTATCATCTATTTTGGAATTATTATAGCAAGAATGGCCAACTCTTTATAAAACTCTTAACTGATGTATCTTTAATAATCAAAAAATAGATATTTAGTTTCAAACTGTGCAGCAAGTTTTTATAAAAACCTTCTATGAACTCAGCTTTATTAGTAAATTTGACTGAAATAATAACTCTGGAAAACTTTTTTCGATATTTCCAATCCAAATATTTTTAAATTAAAAAGGATTTTAGCATCAATTCTGTGCAAAAAGAGAATTTGTTACAAATTTTTGGAATTAAATTAATTTTACTCACCTGTTCTGGTTCATCAAATACCATAGAAGTTCTTCTTTGTATTGTAGAACAATATGCTAGTTTAGCTAAAGATCCTCCTAAAATATAGAACCCGAAATAAATCCATGTTGCCTTCTAAATGGTGTTTTAATTTAATTGAATCATTGGGGGTTAGGTAGCTAGGTGGTGAAACACATGTAGATCAGATGACGTGTTATATCTATCTCTATTGACCATAAACTTCCTATTCTCTCTTGCAGCTATTGTAGTATATTCATGTATAGGTGAATACTGTTAGTCCAGGTATGTTGATTCTGTATGCCAAAGTTAATAGAAGTCGACTCAACATCAACAAACTTACACTTACCAATATCTATAGCAAACTGTTTGGCATTCTTTAAATTCCTAAACAGTGTCTCTGTTGGTAATTCTATGCTTCGTGCATAACTTTTAGCTGTCATGGTTTATGTATTAAGTTCTGTATTAATAATACTCTTATACATTAATTCTGAAATACATTCAAAGTTAAACTCGACCTGCAAGCAGCACTGAAACAGCTTTCAGGAATCAGACAGGAAGGGTGTTTTTTCTACTACTTACAGTTTACAGATCATTGTCGAGATAGATTTAACAAGTGGTATTGGAACTTAACTTCCTGTACCAGAAGTTTCAGAAAAGAAAGGAAAATTAGAAGAACATTATCAAATATTTAACGATATTTAGCAAATAATTGATAGTCTGAGTCCGTCTTGTTTAGGACTAGTTACCTCCCTTATACTATTAGAAGCATTATTCAAAAATATAACGATTTTTCGACTTTTTTCAAAGATTGTGGCCCTTTTTGAACCATTTATATTATATTGTGGCTTTTAAATTTGGATTCACACCCTAGACCAAAGTTAGGACTCTAAGTAACAGAAGTTTATAAAATGAAATAAGAGTAGTTTTCGAGATAAAAGCGTCTGAATAGGCTCCAAAAAAGAAAATATTAGATTTTCAGCATCCCATAATATATTGCCTAACCAGTGAATTTGTACTATTTGGATGTCATAAGATCGTCCATTATTCGGGCTATCCAATGCGACTTTAGTTGTTTTGATTCGGAGAAATCTGGCATAGTTATTACTTTTTTCACAAGATCACCATTTGTTTTACTTTATCCAGTTTTTTTTTCAAAATATCAGATATTTTTTCGACTACCGGTACTTCCGGTTTTTGGATCATTGTCAGGATAGTTTTAACAATTTGTTTGGATATTTAACTTTCTGTACCAGAAGTGTCAGAAACATCCATTGCACTGTTTTCAAAACAAAGAAAAATAGAAGAGCATTTTTAGTAATTTAAGGATTTTTCTACTTTTTTCAAAGATTGAGGCTCTTTCTGGACCACTTATATTATTTCAATGCTTTTATTTTGAGATTCGTAGAAAAATCGTAGGTGTCGTTTTCGAGAAAAGGGCGTCTCAAAAGGCTCCAAAACAGAAAATACTAGATTTTTGGCGTACCATAATTTATTATCTAACCATTGAAATCGTATCATTCAGATGTTATATGACAGTCCATAAATGGGGCCATCCAACGACACTTTAGTTCTTTTGGTCCGCTAACATCTGACGGAGAATTATAACCAACAAGCCAACAGTGAGGCTGATGTCCCCCGCCGAAATAGGAAAATAATTAGAGGACACATATAAATTTATCACAAATTATCTTTCACAAAGTATTGAACAATCAAACAGTATATCTTTACTTATAGTCTAACAATCAAAGTAGGAGAGTTATTGTTTTCCAAAGTCTCGACCAATCAAATTGCGTATCGCTCTGCTTACCCTGAGCAGAAAATGCTCATTATCAAACTTAGTCAAGGTATTACTGTAATGAAACTATACACCAAGTTTCATCAATCTCACTTAATTAGAACTAAAGTTATCGTGTCCCAAAGCATCAACCAATCAAATTGCTTATCTCTGCTTACCCTAAGCGGAAAATGCTCATCTTCGAACTCCATCAAGGCATTGACCTAATCAACACATACACCAAGTTTGAACATTCTAGCTTAATTAGGAAGAGAGTTATCGTGCCCCAAAGTATCAACCAATCAAATTGCTTATCTCTGCTTACCCTAAGCGGAAAATGCTCATCTTCGAACTCCATCAAGGCATTGACCTAATAAACACATACAGCAAGTTTGAACATTCTAGCTCAATTAAAAGTTATCGTGTCCCAAAGCATCAACCAATCAAATTGCTTATCTCTGCTTACCCTAAGCGGAAAATGCTCATCTTCGAACTCCATCAAGGCATTGACCTAATCAACACATACACCAAGTTTGAACATTCTAGCCCAATTAGGAAGAGAGTTATCATGTCCCAAAGCATCAACCAATCAAATTGCTTATCTCTGCTTACCCTAAGCGGAAAATGCTCATCTTCGAACTCCATCAAGGCATTGACCTAATAAACACATACACCAAGTTTGAACATTCTACCTCAATTAGGAAGAGAGTTATTGTGTCCCAAAAAGTGTGACGGACAGACAGACGGACAGACGGACAGACAGACAGACAGACGGACAGACAGACGGACGAACCCATTTTAATAGTCCCCTGCTTTCTTCGAAAGGCGGGGGACAATAATACATATGTCATTATTATGTCTGAATTGCGACTAATTATTATTGTTAGAATGTGCACACACCTGTATGGTTATTTAATCCAGAAGCATTCAAAGCGAAAGAATTGGTTATAAAACCGTCATAAATTATAAAACCGTCATTTTCTGACGTAAAAGTAACCATAACCATAATGATGTAAAAGTAACGTAAATTTAACCATAAAATTTTACCATTATTGTATTGGACGCAAACCAAAATCTTAGCTAAATGACGTAAATTTAACTCATTGGAGGTCTTAATTCACTACTTGGTACAAATAAATTCATTGATTTGACATGCTTGATTTGACTACATTCACATGCCAATTTAAAAATATAAGAATAATTTTATTACGAAGCAGCCATAGCCTGTATAATATTTACAGAGAAAGTTGTACAAAAATGTTCATAATTTTAAGATAGTAAGCACAGAAATCGTTTCATCAATTTATTGTCCAATTCACTTGTCAAATATGCAAAGTTCATCATATTTTCATCCCACAAAAATACCAATGTGAAAGCATAGAAACACCAAAGCACAGATAAACAGTCAGCAATTAATGGTCCATTTCACTTTCTAATTGCAAAGTGCTAAGTTTATCCAATTTTCAACCAAAAATATTGAAAATTTCTTGGTCATATTCTTTTTGATTTTTTTGAAAAACACATAATTATTAGGGGGGATTTTTACCTACTGGTACTTTCCAAAAGGGGGGATTATTACCAGTGGGACTTTTACTGGGGGGATTTTTACCAGGGAGATTTTTACTGGGGGGGATTATCATCGCATATCAACATCACTACCCTCCTCAATCCACGAATAGTGTTATAATTTTAAGCTGAAACAAGACATTATGAAGAAACAATATTGCCATGCTGTTTTTAGCCACGATTGGGTGCCTTAATTTAGTTCACCTGGCAAACTTAATTTCATTATTAATGCATGTAACATCTTAAAAATAAGTTAATTTTATACTATTTGGACTTAATACACATATGCAGCCCAATCTAGTGAAACAACTTTCGTTTATCTGCAAATATCTTAATAAAGTGAATCAGGCATCAATTTTTATCAAAATTGATACGGACGGACATTCAAAATTACATTGCATTAGTCAATAGTCATGTGCAACTCGTATCGGGTTAGTACTTTGATTGGATGTTGTATATGTCATAAATATTAGCCATGCTTTCATGACATATATATAAAATATAAGATGTCAAATTTAAAATACCGGAAAAAGCAAGCTAATAGTTAAAAAAAGGTGGATTGTACCTGTATCAGGTAGGATTACGTGTTTAATTGAAGTTGGCATGGCAAAAATGTTATAAATAACAATAAACAATCAATTGTCAGGTTTCTTTATTGAAAGCCCGATATGATCTCCATCTGATCTCTGTCGGTGTTTGCCAGATGGATCTATTTTATATAGTACCATCTCTTATCTCAAAACACAGAGGGTTGAGAGATGGGGTTTCTTATCTACTAGTGTTTAAATTGATCAGCAATATGACACAAAATAAAAACTATTCCTGATATTGAATATTATTTTATTTTTTTTAAAGGGACAATAACACTCTGGCTGGCTTGACAGCTCCAGAAAATAAAAAATAGCCTTATTCTAAGTACTAGATGTGTTAGTGTCTTTCCTGTTGTGTAAATTATCCATTAAATCATATTTTACTTGTCCAGAGGGTTCAAAAATATTTTTAAATCCAAGTCACATTTAAAGAGCTTTAAGTCAGGCTTTTCAAATCATTTAGTTGAATTTTTCCAATTTTTTAAATTAGGTGTGTTAAGATGAAATTTATATCACCAATTAATTGGAATATTGTAAAATTAATAGTACAATTTGTTGACCAGAATAAAGATTGGGACATATAAATATTATTCAGTTACAACAAGAGTGGTATTGAGCCTTGAAACAATAAAAATAGAAAAAAATTCTCCCCTCCCCGTCTCATATTGTTGGTGAAAAAGGAACGATTACCATTTAGTTTGTTAAAAGTGACCTTATTCCGTATGGAAAAGTCCCATTATAAAATATTTTATTATTATTTTATTAAAATTAATTAATTATCTCTGCACCAGTTCAGGTTGAACCTCAAGAGTTTGTTCACACTCCTTTACTTATTTGATGATGATGAACAAAAGCAACATCTATTACAGGATTTAAATGGTTAATTTAAAGAAATGTTAAAATTATATAGGTCTGCTCTCGCTCTTTAACCTTTTCATATTCTTTCGACCGTCCGATGTGCAATGTTTGTAAACATTGAAAGACATCCAAATTTGATTTCTATAGTTAAAGATTTGTTTGACAAAGGGGGGTAATCCAATAGTTAAGAGAGAGAGAGAGAGGGAGAGAGAGAGATGGGGTTTAACGTCCACTCGATACAAACTGGGTCATTTCGGGACTAACATATGGTTTAATTTTTTATTTCAATAATTCGCTTGCTCGTAGGGGTCTTTAGCAGTTGGAGGAAACCGGAGGACCCGGAGAAAACCCACGAGGTTGGACAGCTACTACTAGGCGACCCTACTCCTTGTCACGTACAACCGGGGATTCGAAACCACGCCAGTTGATTCAATGACAGGCTTTATGATACAGCATTCGGCCATCCACCCCCCCCCCCCAATAATTAAGAACTAGGAATCGAACTTAACGTATTTATATTTTTACTTAATTACATTTTCATCTAAATTGCTTAATTTAATTGTTGTTTTGTTGGTGGTTTTTTTTTTGTTATTTCCTTTGTGGGTGTGGGTGGGTGTGGGCGGGCGGGCGGTTACGGTACGGGTCTAATCACCGGAATTCACATTTTTAAAAACACCGGAATTCACGCAAGACCTTGGACTATTTACTTATATTTTGTATTATTATTAATTATACATTACTTATATAAACACCGAAAATCACCGGAATTCCCCTGTAATGAGTTCGCAATACTAACGTTTTTTCCGTCCACAACGCGTTACAACCCAGGCTCAAGACCGCTACATCCGGGTCACTCATCTGCGTGACAGATTCTGCCCAGCGACTCGAACAGGTGCAGCAGTCGTCGGAAGACAAGGACCAGTAACCTGAGTAAGTGCCAACACCGTAAGACGTCGTCTAAGAGAAGTAGGACTCCGTGCACGACGACCTTATGTTTGGAGCTATCCTCAGGGATCATCACCGTCAGCGGCGTTTGATATGGGCTCAAGGACACCAGACATGGAGAAGAGTAGACTGGCAAAGTGTGCTCTTCAGTGATGAGAGTCGCTTTCATTTTTATCACGCTGATGGCCGTCAACGTGTGTGGAGACGTCTTGGGGAACGTCTTGCAGACTGCTGCGTCTTCGAAACGAATCGATGGGGTGGGGGAAGTGTAATGGTGTGGGGAGGCTTCACATTTCATCACAGGACCGCCCTACACATTTGCAGGGGTCGCGTTAATGCTGTAGCCTACCGTGATGATGCCTTGCAACCAATTGTTGTTCCGTTGTTTAGAGCGCACCCACAACTTCAGCACTTCCAACAGGATAATGCACGTCCGCATATACCGCCCGTTCTAGTATGGACTACCTGGCTGCTAACAACTTCAATGTCTTGGACTGGCCAGCCATGTCTCCGGACATGGCACCGATAGAACATGTCTGGGATGAGATTGGGCGCCGTCGGTATCGGAGACCACAGATGCACACCATTGCTGCTTTAGAAGCTGCTCTTGTCCAAGAATGGAACAATTTGCCCCAGGCCTTCTTTCAAACATTGGTAAATTCCATGCGACGTCGCTGCACAGCGTGCGTAAGAGCCCGTGGAGGACACACGCGCTACTGACATTTGTGTCGTACTTTTGGTTTTGACCCCTCTGACTTTGTACCGTTGATTACAGATTAAACATCCATAAGTGTACAAATGTGTTGTTATTGAATTGATGTGTTCCCATTTGAATATTGTTCACAATAAGAAGCAAAATAGATAAGATATGTTTACAGGATCATTTTGTTATACAAAAAACTAAGTGATGCGTTTTTCATGGCGCTCGGTATAGTTATTCGTTATATTATAATGTGTTATGCATTTAAAATGAATTATTTTTGTTGGAGGAATCGAAAGTTTTCGAAGTGATTTCCGGTGAATTAAGGTGAATGTAAGTGAATTCCGGTGATTGTAAGTGTTTCCGGTGGTTCCGGTAATTAGACGGGCCCTTTCACACTGATCCGCAGTGAATATTCGCTTGGCCGCTATAAAAGACGGATGTCGCATTAGGTCTGTAAAACAGATTGGGGCCCTTTCACAATCTGTTTCACAGAGAATTACGAGTCTCGTATAATATCTCTGTCATAGATGACTGCCTTAACACGTGCTGTCACAGCACGCGGTGTGAATCATTGGCTGAATGGCGCGTGCATTGTTTACATAAGACATAACTGCTTCGGAGAGAATGCTGCATTTTAGTCATTTTAATACCCATTTACACTAAATCGGAAATAATTTTTACCTACAAATACGTCAAACGCCTTTATTTATTTTTCCAATATATACAAAAAATGTTTTAGAATTTAATTTGTGGCAGGAAAAAAGTTAATATTTCTAGCTCATTAAGCCGCATCAATGTCATCCTTATCAGTGATTGTCGCGGCCAAGCAAATATTCACTGCGGATCAGTGTGGCCCTTTCAGTCTACTAGGAGGTTCTGGGTGACCGAGACTATTTCATTCTGGATAACTTTGGCCATGTGACCTTACAGATTACCTTGACCTTGTCAACAAATACACGTGAACCATCAGGGTAAATCCAAAGTTGTTAAAAAGTATAACATCGACTGAAAAAAATGCTAAGGAATGTTATGCAGATAGGCAGGGTAGGTTTTTATGGTTTCAACTTTCATTCGCTGACATTTCAGAAAGATATGCCTTTACTGATGCAAACAATAATGAGACCGCCGAGATAACAGATTAAATTATATGTAACTAGTAACTAACTACACTCAAAGCCATTAAAAACGCAATCATATTCATTGCAATGCCTAATTCGTGAAATATTTCTGGTTTAAACGTTTTCTTGGGCTATCCGATCTTTTGGCACATAGGTGAAACTTGTGATGGGTCTCTTTTTGTGGAGTTCTGGGTTTGAACCCAATATCATTATCAGTTCTCGGGACGGTAGCCTAATTAACTTGTTCGTGCAAACGCAACACTTGTCTTTTTTCACGATTTTAAGCAGTCCCATGTCACACGTGCATACCCTGCACAGTGCACTCTGGCCCTTTAAATACAGATCAAAATTTCAACATTCATCACTTCCGAAAAATGTCACGCCTTACACAAGAAAACAGGAACAGAGCTATTCAATCTATTGGCATGCTGTATCATCACAGGTAGCCGTCGTCAGACAATTTAATGTCCACATATCGACCATTGCTCGACTCAGACAACGCTTCCACGCCACTTGAAGAGTTGCCGATTGACCCCGACCTGGAGCGCCACCTGTAACAACTGCTTCTCAAGATGGCCACATCCGACTACAGCATCTGCGCAACAGATTCCAGTCAGCTACTGCCAGGGGGAACTGTTGGAACACAGCAATGTCAGATCAGCCCTTAAACGCTGCCGTCGACCTTACCAAGGTCATATCCTTTTGCATCGTCATCGACTTGCCAGACAGCAATGGGCCGCAAATCAGGAGTATCTGCACAACACACCATGGCGAAATGTCATGCTGATTCAACCTCAGTTTTCCTGATGGACATCACCGTATCTACCGACGTCGACATGAACGCTTTGCTCGTAACTGCGTGCTGGAAAGGGATCGTTTCGGGGAAGGTGGCATAATGGTTTGGGCTGCTATCAACGTCAACTTCTGGTCCCAGTTGGTGGTGGTCCAAGGCAATCTCAACGCTCAACATTATGTTGACGCCATCCTTTGTCCGGTAATGCTTCCTTTGCTGGCGCAACATGGCATCCGTCGACAGATGGTTTTCCAGCATGACAACGCCCGACCCCACACTGAGACTTTCTGAACAATCATCATGTTTGTGTTATGGATTGGCCCGCTATGTCTCCCGACATGAACCCGTTCGAACTCAAGCAGTGCCACCACGAACGAACTGTTGCAGAGTTGGCACAGGCAAACAATCCCACAGCGTGTAGTGAAACATCTATGCCAGTCCATGCCAAGGCGACTTCAGGCATGTGTAAGATTAGAGCTCAGGGTGGACATACCCGATATTGACTTCAGCTTCATGGTTCTCTGACGTTTCGGTTTTGTGCATTTGTAGTGAATTCTTTCATGAAATTATCCACAGATGCTTGTTATCTTGATTTTGTCAATTGTTATGTTTATTTGTTAAAAGTTGTTTTAGTAAATAAACTTTGAATTTGGCATTGCATTTTTTATGGCTTGAGTGTATATATTATAATATAAGGTCCACAGCCGGTCAGCCGATCCCTGATGATATGAGCGTATGTCATGGCTTGGAGAAAGGGGTGCCTTCTGAACCTCGTGGGTTTACTCCGAGTACTCCAGTTTACTCTAACAGGAAAGACCCTTGTGTGTATGTTAAGCATGTTAAAATTTGACAACTTGTCTGTGATATCACCATAAGTAAAAAAAAGAAAAGAAGAAAGATACAGCCCCCAACACTAACTGATAAGATTCATGGATGGGTACCGTGTCATGTAATATGGGGCCATTATGGGGAGCCAATATGGGACCCCAACATTTTTGCACCCAACATTCATATGGGTGCTAAATGGGGTTTGTGTGGGGTCTATATGGGTAAGTCATTTAAAATAATATGGATGTTATATGGGGCTTGCATGGGACCTATATAGCCATGTTAAAAAATGTAATATGGGTACTATATGGGACTCATGTGGGAGCAAAGAAATGTAATATGGGGCTTGCATGGGATTCTTTAGAATACAAATTATAGCCTAACTAAGACTAATTTTATACAAGTATCTTCTTTTGTATGATCACTATTACATGCTAGGTAACACTATTTTTATGAATATCAAGTGTGCTACCTTGCTCTATGTAACTTCGATGAATTTCCTAGTTATTTAAGCATGGTAAACAACAAGTACCAAATAAGTCTAATAAAATAACCAAAACTATTTGGTTTCATGTTTTATTATTATGCTTTCTCAGTTAGGATGGTTCAAATTCGTTGGGATCTCCCACCATCCAGTCCCTAGAATTTGTCAGGAAACGACTACTGCGGCTTTGATTTCCTTGTTTGTGGTGTTTAAAAACATTGGATTTCTTCTAACTGGCTCTGTAATTCAAAAGGAAAGCACATTAGGTCTGTTGATGTGCAACCTGACCAAGTAACACAACTCTTCCCATATTACATGTATCTCCCCTTAAGACTACAAAACATTGCAATATGTGGACCATATGGGGTGATACGACAAGGTCCCCATACTGGACCCATATTATCTTCCCACATACAAATGTACGCAAATACACTTTATTTTCATATATATTAATATCACAGAGACAAGACAAATGATATAATGGTTACTTCTTTCTTACATTGATAATCTGACCATATAGTGTGTGTATCTGGGGCCAATATGGGATCTATATGGGATTTCCCACATTAACAATTCTGTTTTTGTATACATGGGGCCAATATGGTGTTCATATGGGATTACCCATGTGTGTATCTGGAGATAATATGGTATCTGTATGGGATTACATATAATTTTTGTATATAACCACATTTATGTATATGGGTTCAATATGGTATCCATATGGGATTACCCACTTGTGTATATGGGGCCAATATCATATCTATATGGGATTGCAACATATAAAATAAGATATATGTCTGGGTCCAATATGGTATCCATATGGGATTACCCACATGTGTATCTGGGGCCAATATCATATCTATATGGCATCTACCACATATAAAATAATACATCTGGGTCTAATATGTTATCCATATGGGATTAGCCACTTCTGTATCGGTTTCAACGTGGAATCATACCCATTGCATTTAGTAGATAGTAATAAGTATTCAGGAAATTAAAATCAGAATCTCATTAAAGTGTTTATTTGGGAGACATTAAACATGTTGTAGGTATTTTTTTTATTGGTTTATTGTATCATATAGCTAACCCCCAGTTCCATTCACTTGATCTGATGTGCCGTTTGTTGTTTATGTTATCTGTATATTGTGTCTTGTCCTTAGATTTGTCTTGTATATTTGTTTGTGTGTGGTGCAGTCCCATTGCACTTACTATTTACCTTTGGAAAAGAGAGTGAACAAGTGGATACTCCAGAGGAAGCATCTTATTTACATTAAAACCTTACATGGTATAGATCTCATTAAATTGAAAGCATTCAATTTATTGTAGAATGTCAGTAGTAGGTGTAAACAGTTTATGGGCCTAAGTCATCAAATGTCAACTCCCAGTGATACACAGTTAACAGAGGGAGAGCAATATATATTAATGGTACTAAAAGAAAAATTTCCGGAAGCATCTGAAATACAGGTTTCTGATGTCTCAGGTATTTTAGAAACCTTTTTTTTAGTGTTACACAGTAAATCAAAATATACACTATTGTGATGTAAATGTTATTATGTATTAAGTAGCCTACACCAAATAGGTATATATTTACATGTACGATGCCTAGAATCGGGATGTCAATGGTGATGTGGAACTGAAAAGAACATTTAATTTCATCAGCGAACTAAACCAACAATAAAACTCAAATTTACACTTTTCATAAAAACAGATCATTTTTTTCTACTGTCATTTATGAAATCTATGTAACCTTTCAATGTCCATAAAAGTGCTCCATTGATTTTGTAATCTTTGGGGATTTAAAATATTTATAAATTTCTGTTAAGAAAACAAACCAAAGCCTTGTCAGCCTGCAGTTCATCATAATATCAATTAGGGTGAACTTTAGGACCATTGGAAATTATGTTAAGAAGCTTATATGACTGAAATTGATTGAAAATACATTGTGCATGTATTTTAAGGATTCAAAACACATGGGGGGTTGGATGGCCAAATGGTTAACATGTGCGCATTGTATAATAAGGTCTGTCATTGAGTCAACTGGCGTGGTTCGAGCCCCCGGTTGTACGTGACAAGGAGTGGGGTTGCCTGCTCAACCTCGTGGGTTTTCTCTTGGTCCTCCGGTTTCCTCCCACTGCTAAAGAACCCTACGCGCAAGTGAATTATTGAAATAAAATTGAACCATGTGTTAGTCCCAAAATCCTAAACACATATTTCGGAAGCTCATTGATATTGAAACGATCGATGTATTTTGTCAGTTTTGTTTGAGGCAATAAGAAAGGGGGAGCGGGGTAATTGGCCTGTCATTGTGTCAAGTGGCGTGGTGTTGATTTCCCGCTTGTACGTGACAAGGAGTAGCATTGTCTCTCCAATCTTATGGGTTTTCTCTGGGTCCTCCATTTCCTCCCACTGCTAAAGACCACTTCACGCAAGTGAAGTATTGCAATAAAATTAAACCATGTTAGTCCCCAAATGACTTAATTTGTGTCAGTTAAATGGAAGTCAGGCCCAATTTCTCCCTTACACAATAAGAATGAGGTAGTATGTGGTGGTATTTGGTAGTATTGGGGAAATCTTCCTTCCCTTTTAGTAATCCTCGAAAATATGAATCCAATTTGCATTACATAGCATAAGCATGTCATTTAACATTACTTTTCTTTTAATTGAGGTGGTTGTGGAGCTATGTATCAAGTTGCAGTAGAATCAGAAATATTTAGAGGAAAAAGAACAATACAACAACATCGACTGGTAACTCAGGTATGGATAAATTAATTGTAGGCCATGTTGCATTTGATTAAGGTCAGGGCTTTCACAAGGAGTTCATTTTAACAGCAATTCAGTTTTTAATGAATGATATTAGGTTAATATTTAAAAGTGACTTTAGTAATTAACCAACATGATATCTTAATTTTATGTTATTATATACTATTCAAAAAAAGTAGGGGATATTTGATTTTTAAGTGTTATTAAAGTCACCTAATGAAACTGACGAAGAAACAAATGACAAAATGAAATGAAGTTCACATTCATCGATTTATTCCAAATGATCGTTAGACTTAGTAAGGCACAGACTGACCATTATAAGGGTAAAATGATACCCGGGGTCAAACAGCAAAGTTACCACAGCATCACAACCAAGTCAGTAACGGGTAAATCCTCCTCTGTTTGCCAAACAAGCATTGATCCGACGTGGCATACTCCTAATGAGACGTCTAAGGTCATTTTGGTCCAGATTGTCCCATTCCTGTTGCAACGCAGCAGCAAGTTCTTGGACATTGGCAGGACGTTGTTGACGTTGGCGTAACCTCTGTCCAAGCATGTCCCAGACATGCTCGATGGGGGAGAGGTCGGGACTCAGTGCTGGCCAAGGTAATGTGGTGATGTTCTGTTGTTGGAGGTAACCTGTAACGATCCTGGCCCTGTGACATCTTGCGTTGTCATCCTGGAAGATGAAACGGCGGCCATGACGTCGTGCGAACGGCACAACATGGACTGCCAAGATGTTGTCCCGGTAGTACTGGCTTGTAACACGCCCTGAAACAACATGTAAAGCCGTTCCTCCAGCAACAGTGATGCCTCCCCACACCATAACAGAACCACCCCCAAATCGATCATGTCTGATGACGTTAACGTCTTGGAAGCGCTCGTTTCGACGACGCCACACCCTCCTACGTCTGTCCAAAAAATCAACAGTGAACCTTGACTCATCTGAAAACATCACATTGCTCCAGCGTCGATTATCCCAGTGTTGACGATCCCTACACCAACGACGTCTTGCCTGAATGTGATGATCTCTCAAACAAGGGATCACGCGAGGACGTCGGGCGCGAAGGTGACCCCTATGAAGTCGATTCCGAATCGTCTGGCCACTCACTCTCACACCAGTGTCTGTTTGAAGACGAGCGCTGATCTGATTTGCTGTGATGACACGATTTCTCATGGCCAAAGTACGGATAAATCGATCCTGGGCTTGAGTTGTCGCCCTTGGTCGACCTGAGCGTGGTCTGTCCTGTACAGATTGTGTATCACGGTATCTGGACCATAGCCTGGTTATGACAGACTGAGAAACATTCATCGTCCGCGCCACAACCGCCTGTGTTGTGCCGATCTGTAGCATGCCAAGGGCACGTAACCTTTCATTTTGGGTAAGCCGACGCATATCAAAATTTGTTTTCTGGTCACTAAAACAATTAAACTGATGTTTCCACCCTGGAATTCAATGCCACAATGACTGTAACATTCAAAGTCAGAGTCGTGCAAATCTTGGGTTGGACCCCCATGATGATCCCAAGCATCACCTGCATTCCATGCGGTAGCTATTGGTGCGTTTGGGCGTCACATGTAACTGGAAATGTTTCTTCTGTTAGGTTCTATAGTGACTTTTTTCGTAGTCATTTGCATATTTTAGTATTATGCCCCCAAAATCAAATATCCCCTACTTTTTTTGAATAGTATATGTACTGTGACTTTCTAGATTCTAGCCAATAGGGCTGTGTTTGGAAGTTAAAGCCAATTTCATTTCTTTAATGTCAGTGGTCACAATTTTTATCCAGTTTTGACGAAACTTGAAATATAGGTTGATATCCCAAATATCTTGGTTCCTTTTGAGACTGTAAGTTCAAGGATTATGGACCCTGATTGTACAGAAAATCATGTTTTTAGCTTGTAGACACTCTAGAGGTCACAATTTTTATCCGATTTTGATGAAACTTAAAATGTATGTTTATAACCCAAAGATCAAGATCTTGGTTCCTTTCGCTATTGGCATATATCGAACCATAGCTTTCTGGATTATGGTCCCTGATTGTTACATGTACTAAAAATCAAGTTTTTAGCTTAAAATATATGCTTATATCCTATAGAACTTATGTCGGACCGTAAAAATAACATCCTAGATTATTGCCCCTGATTGTATGAAAAATCACTTTTTAACCTTGTTCTGTACATCTCTTGCAAAATGTTGGCGTACTGCATCTTGCATGGTAACCGCTTGTTAGTTATTGAAGTAACAAATAATAATTGCACCAAATCGCTTTTAACTTGTTTCATTCAAATTCTAATGTATGGTTTATTTTTACAGGCACTATCATCAGAGATAAAAGAAATGCATGGGATACAAATAAAGACAAAAGCACCTGGTCAAAAATAATGACATCGGTATTACTGATTCTAGGTGAACTTTTGTGATAAAGAATTTACTCTGAAGAGTAACAGAGTAATTTCTTAATGCATCCCAGTGTTGTATGGAGATGAACAATTTGTGAACTAATAATATAGACTGCGTTATTTGTCGCCTGGAGTGTTTAAGTTGCTGATTGTCATTTATATTTTTTGGAAAATATCAAATTTTTCATGACTTAATCAATGCTAAAATGTACTCAATTGATTTAATAACATTTGAGTAAGAACACAAAATCAAAATTTCAACAATAGATAATCTCCTGGCTTACCAATAGGATTAAAGAGAGGCCCACGCATCAAAGATTTTCTTGAAGATTACTCTGATCAATTCCCGTTTATATTGTCTGCAGGGGATGCCGACTGTTGACAGATTTACAGTTAATCATACCTTTTAAATACTGACAGAAATGAATGATTTTTTGAACTGATATTCCTTTTGGAGATCCAACTTTCACAATATTATAGTTTGCAAGGGATTAAATATCCCTCAAATGATAATCATAGACTTTAATATAATACAGAGATTTAATTCTCTTTAAATGACCACAGGTTGCACGAAACGGTATGAAAGTTTCAGCCTTTTTTCTTAATGTATTTACATGATGTACTGTTATAGCCCTGGCTTGTCACCTAAAAAAAACCCTTTCAGACGTTTATATTGTTAGTAGCAATAAAAATGTGGTTCTCAAACATAATTATGTTGTGTTAAATACAAATTTATAAGAGTTTTGTAATAAAATAAATTGTGATATTAATATACTATGACTCTTTGCCTTCATATTGCGCTGTAATGGTTGAGTGCCCTATTTATGGCCACAACAGGATGTATTCAGCACTAATGTTTATGCTACAATACAGAAATAAACTAGCTATTTCATTAAATATTTTATTTTTGGCTTTTTTTTATGTGGGTCTATCCGACCCTTTGCCTATCATTAAACACTAATTTAGCGGCAGGACGAATTACCCAATATTACCCAATACATGTACTAATTAAACAAGCCAACAGTGAGGCTGATGTCCCCCACCGAAATCCCAAAATAAATAGATGACCCATTTTAATTTGTCGCACATTTATTTTTTTCAAAAGTATCAAGCGATCAAACTGATTATCAACTAAACTAAGTTTTATCACTCTCTATCAGATAGAATCAAAGTTATCTTGTCCTAAAGCATTGACAGATGAAATTGCTTAGCTCTGCTTAGCTTTAGGTCGAAATGTTAATCATTGAACTCGGACAAGACATACATGTATAAATATTCTACCTCAATTAAAAGCAGAGTTGTTATGTTCCAAAGTCTTGACCAATCAACAAATTGCTTATCTCTCCTTAACCTAAGCAGAAAATTCTCATCATCGAACGTAGTCAAGGTAATGATAGAATGAATCTATACTCTGAGTTTCATTACTCTGACTTAATTATAACCAAAGTTATAGTGCCCCAAAGCATCAACCAATCAGATTGCTTATCTTTACTTACCGTACGTAGACAATGTTTATCATCGAACTCCATTAAGGCATTCACCTAATAAACACCTATGCCAAGTGTGAACATTCTAGCTCAATTAGAATGAGAGTTGCTGTGCTCCAAAGTCTCGACCAATCAAATTGCTTATCGCTCTGCTTACCCTGGACAGAAAATGCTCATTATCAAACTTAGTCAAGGTATTGATATCTAAATATTCTGAAAATAAAATGAACAATCATAAGAAGCTATTTAGACTATTACAAATTACAAGAGCGAAGTACGTAATACATGGGAAACAACTCTGCTCAGAACTTACACTATAAAATTGAGTTAACTCCCTTGCACTAATTTATTTTACCGGGTTTTACTTCAAATATTACTCCAATCTAAATATTACTTAAATCTATGAGTAAAACATTTTACGACTACTAAATTCTCTTAACTATACATTTATATGCATTAAGAAGATTATTCACTTGTATATCGAACTCTCAATGATTAAAAGTCTAAATATAACACTCGATACACAATCGCTATTACGATGACTTCAATCAACATGAAACTTTACATCATGTCGCATACTCTTCATTAGCTACTAAAGTAAACATTAAATGGACATAAATATAATCAATTAAATACCTGAAGAGTTTTTATCTTAAGCCCTATAATGTCACAATGATAGAAAAGTTCAGGAATTTTCTAAATACTCTGCAAAAATGGCGCACTGCAGAAGAAAAAATGACGTAAGCTCTAGGGGGCGTAATAAAACTCAATAAAGAAAAGATAACTCTGCTCCAAATTCTAAATAAGTAAAATATGAAAATTAATTATAAAACAAAGTTTTCGGAACAACCAAGTTTGAACATTCTAGCTCAATTAGGAGAGTTATTGTGTTCCAAAAAGTGTGACTGATAGACAGACGGACGGACAAACCCATTTTTATAGTCCCCTGCTTTCTTCGAAAGGCGGGGACAATAATACCAAATACCACCACATACTACCTGCTTATTGTGAAAAAATAACATATATAAAAAAAAAAGTGAATTAAATCGGGGAATTAGCGAAAGGTTTATGACCAAATGAAAACGTCTATTTATAGTATCAGTA